GAGAAGGTCTACTCCGTGGCTTGGAAGCCAGCAGCACATGCTGGGGGAAAAGGCTGCTCAGATAGAGAAGGGAACACCAAGTAAAGGATGTTTGGAGGACTTGCTCGGGATGCGAGATGCGTGCTGAAAGTAGACTATAGATCAAACACGATGGCCACTCAATACCTCTATTGCAAACTACAACATCCTAAAGGAAATAGTGAGCAAAAGGGAATGCTCTACCTCAGAGGCGGGGTGGGGTGGGGAGGATCGGGTGGGGGGTGGGAGTGCTACTGGGATCATTGGTGGTGAAGAATGGGCACTGGTGGAGGGATGGGTATTTGATCTTGCTTGCTTCAAGCACCACCCATTCAACACATTTCTTCTTAATTTAATAAATTGAGAGGCTGGTGGAGCTGTAGTGGTAGTGCAGTGGGTAAGGTTATTATCTTGTACATGGCCAACCTGAGTTCTATCTCTGGCACTCCATGTGGTCCCCTGGGCATGGCCAGGAGTGATCCCTAAGTTCAGATCCAAGGATAAGCTCTGAGTACCATCAGGTATGGTCCAATAAAAAAAAAGTGAAAAGAGCTGTTGTTCCACTAATTATATAATATTGTTACAGAACAACATAACAACATAATGGTTACTAGTCCAACTATTAAAGTGGTGTGGTTGTGCGATGTAATATGTAATGAAAAATCAAAACTTCATTCTCAATGAGAACAAAGGCTAAAGAAACAAAGAAAAATAATTCCATGATGAAGTGTGGAATTTGGAAGGTATTTTACTTGACTTTATTACTTTTATAACAAAACACATAATTTTTAAACTATTAAGTATTACTTAAATAGGTATCATTTTAAGGTTTTTTCTTTCGACCTTGTTTTACATGCAGCAATTATAATGAAAGGACTGCATGACCATCCATTAACAACCCCTGTCCTTTTCAGCAGACCCCAAAGAGATTTCTAGATCCTGACTCCCATTTTATTTTATTTTTAAATTAATTAATTTCTTTTGATTTGGGGGGTCACAGAGGTGGTGTTCAGTTTACTCCTAGCTCTGTACTCAGGGGTCACTACTGGCGGTGCTTGGAGGATCATATGGGGTGCCAGGGATCGAATCCAGGTCAACCACTTGTAAAGCAAGCTCTGTACCCACTGCATTAAAAGCCATCATATAAATATACAAGGTGATTAATAAGTAATCTTAAGAATAAGAGAAGCACATCAATAGTTTACATAAATTCCCAAAACTGTCTTTACACAACATAAAACAATTGAAGACTTTAAATTTACCTCATTATGTATGTTTTCCTGCTCTTCATTTGTTTTCTCTTCAACTGCTTAATAGAAAAAGAGTAAGTTCAGAAGCAAAAGACTGTTTCCATTAGTTCAATGGTCAAGTTATAGTAGCTTTAAATCATTCACACTCAAGGGCGATGATGCAAACAAGAGTAATTTCAGTCAGTGAGGAGAGTCACTTTAATAACATAGAAATTTGAAGTAAAAATTGTGCAACAAATGTGTAGGAGTTTAGAAAATGGATGAGTTCTGCTCCCCAAATAATTTTATATTAATATACTTTTAGAATACAGGTCACCTTTCAGTATCTGTATTGCAAACCACAATGCCCAAAAAGGGGGATGGGGAGAGAGAGACAGAGGCAGAGACAGAGACAGAGAGAGACACATAGAGAGACACAGAGAGATAGAACAGATAGATAGATAGATAGATAGAGAGAGAGAGAGAGAGAGAGAGACAAGAAAAATGCCTGTCATAGAGGCACATGGTGCCAGGGAAGGTTACAGGAGGGAACTTGGGGACATTGGTGCTGGGAAATGTACACTGGTGGAGAAATGGTTGTTGGAACAGTTTTTTAAAACTCTATCTCACAGTGATTCAATAATAAAATCTTAAAAAATAAATAAAATAGAGTACAGGTCACATTGGTAAACAATAGAGATACAAAATAAGTATTTTATTTTCATGGAAATAAACAAAGATCCATTCTTTCTTTAAGTTTATATTGTAATGTAACTTTCAAACCAGTAAAAACACACATACAATGTGGGAAAATAATTATTTATAAATGGGTTATGGGAGATAGCAGTACTGTGATTTTCGGGTTACAGCTGTTTGGAAAAGAAACAGAAAAACTACTTAACTTCGTGAAATGGAGATTTTTGTGAAAGAAGATGTTTTGAGGGTTCTTGGCAGAAATACAGAAAAATGTGAAAAAGTTTAGGAATGAGAAATCATGTCCCCCAGATTGGGTGTTTGTTATAATATTAGCTGTTTGTTAAAATGAGATTGTAGAGAGTGAGAAGGGAGGTGACTGACAAGGAGGAAATGTTTAAGGCTCTAAGATCATACCCATTTAAAGGTCAGTGGAAACTCATGTGATGACAATATTGTATGTCTACATGAACTAAGCTATATAAGTGCTAACATAAATTAGGGAAGGAAACACAAGGACACTGGCAGGCTGGGAGTGGGAGGGAAACTGAGGAAACTAATGGAGAGTACTGGACACTGGTGAAGGGATTGAATAGTGTTTGCCAGAAACTCAGTCATAAATACCTTTGTTACTCTGTAATTCACAGTGATTCAATTAAAAAATTAAATAAGATAAATCTGTTTGAAATTAGAAGCATGGGGGCTGAAGTGATAACACAGCAGGTAGGGCATTTGCCTTGCATGTGGCTGACCCGGGTTCGATTTCCAGCATCCCATATAGTTCCCCGAGCACCTCCAGGAGTAATTCCTGAGTGCAGAGCCAGGAGTAACCCCTGTGCATTGTCAGGTGTGACCCAAAAACCAAAATAATAATAATAATAATAATAATAATAATAAAATTAGAAGCATAGTGCAACGTTATTGATATTTTTACTTCATATATATAACTAATCTTTTCTGAGTCAGTAAGTATGAAATTGTCTCTAACATAGCTATGTTATTTATTTACCACTCATGAACTAATTACACACTTTGATTACTTCTGTAGCACTGTCCTCCCTTTCGTTGTTCATTGATTTGCTCGAGCGGGTCCAGTAACGTCTCCATTGTGAGACTTGTTACTGTCTTTGGCATATTGAATACACCACGGGGAGCTTGCCAGGCTCTGCCGTGCAGGTGGGATACTCTCGGTAGCTTGCTGGGCTCTAATTTTATTTTTTTGTTTGTTTTTGGATCACATTCAGCAGTGCTCAGGATTTACTCCTGGCTCTGTGCTCAGGGATCACTCCTGATAGGACTAGGTAGACCGTCTGAGATGCCAGGAATCAACTGCATGCAAGACAAGCACTCTACCTGCTGTACAATCACTCTCACCCTTGAATTCTAATTTTTGTGACTTATGTCCAATTAATATTTTCAGTTTTGCTTTATTTACTTAGCTTAAATGTCTAGAATATTTGTTTGTATTTGTGGATCACCCCTAGAGAGTGCTCATGATTCTACGCTTGGGGTTGCTCCTTATAGTTTCAGGACACCAAGTGGTGCCAGGTATTAAACCTGGACCTCTCTCATAAAAACATGATCTCAGTCCTTTGAACTATCTTTTTGACTCAATAACTAAAAGTATTTATTATTTAATCATAAAATATGTTATAACTTGTAGAATCTTATGATCATTAATTTTATCTACTTGATGTCAACATGAATATTTATTACTCATTTTGGTCAATAGATACTATAATTTTGAAATGCTTCATTAATTAACTAGACCAAATGCTTAATCTCTGCTTAATCATTAGCAATGTTGGGCATTTTCCCACACTGTTTTGTTTTTTATTTTTTTGGTTTTGAATTTTGGGTCATACCTGGTGGTTTGCTCTCGGCTCTGAGAGCACTACTGATGGAGCTCTGTAGACCATGTCAGGTGTCAAGAATAGAACTCTGGTCAACTATATGCAAGGCAAGCACCCAACTCGCTGTACTAACTCTTTAGACCCCCCCATTTTGCTTTGAACATCAGTTTTCTTCTTTGAATTATCCTTTACTGATTTCTTTATTAGTAATATTTTTGTAGATAGAATTCATAATTAATGTTTATTTTTAATTTTGAACATTATTTCATCTTCTTTGAACTAATAAGTCACATTGAATTCTATGATCATTATTATCTATTCTATAACTTGGTTGCTGTTTGGTAATTTTTAACCAATTTAAACTATTCAGACTACTGATTTACATCTCTGTTGTTTGCACAATGCAACACTTTTTATCATTAAGTCTATTTATCATTAAATAGTTTAATTTTGAGAGATAGCAAATGTACATTTTATTTGTATTTAGTTAGTTTTGTTTGAAGCCATACCTGGTAGTGCCCAGGGCTATTTTATTTTTAAATATAAAGTATAAAATTATATTTCCTTTTTTTTTTTTTTTAGTAAAGCAAGATCGTTTTCATTGAACGAAATTTCCCTAGGAAGATATGAGGTGAGAGGAAGAAAGGATTATGTGTTTGAGAGAATACAGGCATCTAAGGGTGGAAAAAGATAAAGAGAGATTTCGTGTTCAAAGGAGAACATGAGTTTGAAAAAGAAAGTCAAAATAATTTTTTAACTCTAACATTCTCAGGTTAAATTCACAGAGTAGATATTAAAGTTTTATTTTTTGGGTGGGTTTGAAATGTATCTGGTAGTGTCCAAGAATGGTGCTTGTATTAAGTTTTAATCTTTTTCTGGGGGCATTGAATTATATCTGATAGTGTTCAAGAATGGTGCTTGGGGGGACCATATGTGGTACAGGGGATTCAACTAGGGTCATCCACATGCAAGGGCCTTGTCTCATATTAGCTCCCTGACTTTGAAGTTAAAATTCAAAGTTAAAAAAAACTCTTAAATATTAGAATACCGGGACTGAGAGATAGTATAAGTTAGTATATACTAAAATTGGAGCAATACAGAGAAGATTAGCGTGGTCCCTGCACAAGGAAAACAGACTATTGATTTTAAATACAAACAAGACTTTTCATTAACAGAAAGTTAGTTGTCAGTTAAGAATCTAACTTACAAATTGATGATACAAGTTTACGTGTAGTCCCATACTTCCTAGCATTCCATCTGAATCTTTTCACATCTAATGGAGTTTGGACAACCATTACCTTTGTAAGGTCTTCAATGCCTTGTACCTGAAGTTTGACATTAGACAGAGTTAATCTCTAAGTAAATAGCATTCCATGAAATATTTTTCTTCTAAGCTACTATCTCAGACTCTGTCTAAATATCTGCACATAAAAATATTAATAGATATGGAATTGGTATCTTGAAATAGCTTGGTATATTGATTTTTGTGAGTCAATATTCCATATTATTAATTGATTTTTAAATAGTTAACTCATTTATCTTATAAATGAGAAAAATAATTGAGTTAATCATCCCTGATTCTTCATAATGTCACCCAGAGATATTTTTTAATGTTGAAAGTAAGTTTAAAATGCAATGAATTTCAAGAAATCAATTATTGCCGTTGATTTTAGTATGCATTGGCATTCTAGACCACAGTGAACAGAATAAGACTTTATGCTGTTGATAGGACTATATAGATTTTTTTTTCTGGCCAACTCAAGAAACTCTGGCTGGCTATATAAACTGTAGCCATTTATCCACTCTGCAGCTGGTTTACTGTATCACTGTATCACTGTCATCCCCTTGTTCATGGATTTGCTTGAGCGGGTGCCAGTAATGTCTCCATTCATCCTAACCCTGAGATTTTAGCAGCCTCTCTTTACTCATCCTTCCCAAAAGTGCCACAATGGAGGCTCTTTCAGGGCCAGGAGAATGAGACCCATTATTGTTACTGTGTTTTTTGCATATTTAATACACCACCGGGAGCTTGCCAGGCTCTGCCAGATGGGCAGGACACTCTCAGCAGCTTGTCGGGTTCTCCGAGAGGGAGAACAAGACTATAAGAGCAGCTGGGTTACACATTCAAGAATAGAAGAAGGAAAAAACAGAATTGAAAATAAAAATTGTGGGCCTGGGCATATAGAATAGGGGCTAACTTTGGTGTTTGGTTTACTCAGAGCCAAAGCAACCAATAAATTTGGAGGTTGTATGAATGGGGGTAGTGGTGGTGGTGTGTTTATGGAGTGGTGGGGGAAAGCTGCAGTATGAGAAAATGGAAGTTCTAACGTTATTACCTGCTAACCACATGGCATACTGACCTGAACATAAGGATCTTTTATTTAGTTTTGGCTGGACCAGAGGCTTGAGGAGCAGTAAATCAGAGAGAGCTCGGTCAACCATGCAGAGCTGAGTTCAGTGCAAGAATCTGAGAATATGGTGCTGCTTGGCTCAGCTGTGCTGGGGGTCACCAGGAGCCATCAGGCAGTGCTTCTCAGCCTCCAGGGTCACACCCAAGGTATTCAGGAATGCCCAGTGCTGCACCTGGCACTACTGGGTCACCATGTGGTACTAGGAATCATATGAGCATGGTATTACTGTCTCCTGCCCTTAATCAATATATACATATATATATTGGCTTTTTAGATCCTACCCAGTGATGCACAGGCTTTGCACTCAGGAATTACTCCTGGCAGTGCTCAGGGGACCATATGAGGTGCTGGGAATTGAATTTGGGTCGGCCGCATGAAAGGCAAATGCCCTACCTGCTGTGCTATCGTTCCAGTCCCTAATCAATATTTCTTTACCTGATAGCATGTTATTGGAATTAAGAAAGGCGACTTGTAAATTTTTCGTAATTGGCAATCTTCTGCAGATCCATGTATGAGGATGACATAAATTACAGTTTCATCATAGATATCAGTTTTGGTGCCCGTTGGAATGTCCCTTATAAAAACATTACAGAGCTTTAATTGCAGTTTGTAGTTCCAATCCTATTTTGAAAAAAAAATCATAGTCAACTGTTTATCAGTTTTAGATTTTTTTTTGATTTGCTTTTGTGTCACACCTGGCAGTTTGGGAGCTTACTCCTGGCTCTGCACTCAGGGATTACTCCTGGTGGGCTCAGGGGACCAAAAGAGGTGCTGGGGATCTATCGAACCCAGGTCTACCATGTGCAAGACAAGCAACTAACCTGCTGCACCGACCTTCTCTGATTCCCAGATTTTAAATTCCTGCTTAGTTAATTTACCACAAAATTCAAATGCAATTTTAGAGATAAGAATGAGTTCACAAAAATGCCTCTTACCTCATAAGATAAATGTTCCTTGATTTTGCTGGCAGTAATGGAAAGGCCAATTTTTAGCCACATTTTATATTCTATAAAATCTGGGAAATATTCAAAAGTTTTACGTAAATGATATTTTGGAATAAAACATGCCTGGAAAGGAAGGGTATAAGCTTAATTATTTTCTTCTGTGCATACAGTTTAAGAAATATGTTTTTCTTAAAAAATTAAGTTTTTCTCATATGTACATATACGTACATTCATGAATCAGCATTCAAAACTCTTTTATATTCCTATGTGCAGATAAACAATAGGAAGAAATAAAGAAAGCAATTTATTTAATTATTGCAAACAAAATAATCAAAGGATAAAAAAATTTAACAAAGAAGGCGAAAGATCTATATGACACCATATATGAGTCAGTGGAAAGAACAAGACAATAAGAAATAAAAAGATAGTTATTGTCCATGGATGGGAAAAATTTTGGTATAGCCAAAGTGCTCTTTTACCAAAAATAATATATATATAATGTACTCATAATAAAAATTTACTATTAACATTTTATTTGCTTGTTTTTGACCCAATAGCACTCTGGGAGACTGTGTGGTGCTCATATTAACCTGGAGTTTCTGCATGCAGAACATGTGCTCTGGCCTTTTCATCCATCTCTCTGGCCCTCTAATGATATTTTGAGTACAAACAGAAAAAATTTTTCTAGAGTTATGTGGAATTATAGTGGACCTAAAAAAGGGTGGTCCAGAGAAAGAAAATAAAAATGGAGGAATTATGCTATCTGAATTCACTGTAATATAAAACATTAGTACTTAAAAATGGTTTGACTTTGAAATAAAATATAAAATGAATAGTATTGAAATCACATAAATAAACCTACACATATATCAATATTTACTTTGTGGCCAAGGATCTAAAACCATATGATAAAAGGAATGAGAATCTCTTTAACAGTTGGTGTGCGGAAAACTTGATTACCACATGTATAAGATTGAGCCTGTGACTACTCTAACTTCATGTACAAAAACATTTCAAAATGAATTAAAGATGCAAGATACCCAAATCACCAAGAACATAGATGAAAATGCACGTGAAATGTTTTACGTCTTCAGGTTAAAATGTTAGGATTTGGCTACAAATAGCAGAGGAATGAAAGTAAAGATAAACAACTGGGACTGTTTTAAACTAAAAAGGTTTTATACAGCAAAAGAAATACAAACATAGTGAAAAGATAGCATACTTAATGGGGAGAATATTTTACATCTGATGAGAGGTCAGATCAAAATTATACAAATATTTAACAAACTAAACAGAAAAAACAAAATCACCATTTAGATGGGCAGAAGATTTGTCCCTAAGAGGACATACAAACTGTCTGATAGGCTTATGAGAAAAAACCATCACTGTTCAGGAGAAATATGTGTATTAAAACAGATTCGTAAAAGGTGAAGATAGAGTTGTTATAGTAAGCAGAAATCTTGCCTTTGGACATCTATAAAAATCAAGACAAAAATAATACCCAGCGCAGAAAAAGAGGGATAGACATAGAAAGATTGCGTTCATCTGGGGAACATAAAGTAACAAATTAGGAGACTAACACCCAAGAATGGCCGAGATTAGTACCCGGAATTTTGCTCCATGGCTTGGAGGCCAGCCACACATGCTAGGGGAAAAGGGAGCTCAGATAGAGAAGGGAGCACCAAATAAAGGGTGTTGGGAGGATCGTCCCAGGATGGGAGAAGCATGCCTAAAGTAGACTATAGACCAAACATAATTGCCACCCATTGCCTCTTTTGCAAACCACAACGCCCAATAGGAAAGAGAGAACAAAAGGGAATGCCCTGCCACAGAGGTAGGGTGGGGTGGAGGGGATGGGGGGTGGGAGGGATACTGGGATCAGTGGTGGTGAAAAATGGGCACTGGTGGAGGGATGGGTATTTGATCGTTGTATAATTGAAACCCAAGCACAAAAATTTGTAAGTCTACAACTGTACCTCATGATGTTTCACTAATAAAAATTAAAAAATAAATAAAAATAATAACTAATTTTAAAAAAGATATACTTATGTCTTAAAAATACCCAGCTAATGCTCATTGCAACATTATTTACAATAATTAAAATTTTTAATTTTTAAATTATTTTTTATTTTTTTAACTTTTTAACAATTTTTTAAAAACTGAAATTTTCCATTTACAGAAAGTTTTGGAAGGAATCTGAAAAAATTATATGGAAAATAAGCCAGAAGGAAAAAAGATAAATATCAGGTGATTATATCTATAAATATCTGTCACTGTCACTGTCCTCCCGTTGTTCATCGAGTTGCTGTTCATCGAGTTGCTCAAGCAGGCCCAGTAACATCTCCATTGTGAGACTTGTTGTTACTGTGTTTGGCATACCGAATAGGTCACGGGGAGCTTGCCAGGCTTTGCCACACGGGCAAGATACCCTCGGTAGCCTGCCGGTCTCTCAATAATAAAATATTTATGATTTTATAATTAGAGCTATTAAAGATGTGAAACTTATGATTAAGTTTGTATTTATGATTATATTTATGATTAGAACAGAACAAGATATAAAACTGATAAACAGTGAAAACAAGGTAAGACTAGTGGGTACTGATAAAATAACTATGGTTACCTGGTTATCTGAATATAGTGGAATGAGGCTCAAGAGTGGGTGAGTGAATAAAAACAAAAGAAAAAAACACTGGAAAAAAAAGTTTGTGTGCAGCTTTTGACCACAGTTTTATTTCAGATCATTTTTTTTTTTATAAAATTCTTCTTTTACAGTCTTGATTTACTTTCTCACTAAAGAGCAAGTGTTATATGTAATTTGAGATACAGAAAGTATCTTTTCACTAATTAAAACCCCCTTTAAAAAGCCATTTATAGCTGCCAGAGGAGGACAGTATAGAGGGTAAGGCGCTTGCCTTACACAACCTGATCTGGGTTCAATCCCTGACACCTCAGGGAGTGATCCTTGAGCACAGAGCCAAGATTTAGCTCCTAGAAAAGCTGGGTGTGGCCCACAAACCAAATGGAAAAAAATCCATATATAATACTTGAAGTAAGAGCAACATTGATATTGACTATTGTATTTTAAAAATTAATGAATGTAGTACCACTTGTATGTAAATTTCATGACTTCATCCTTTCTGACAGCTACATAGTATTCCATTGTGTAGATGTACCAAAGTAATTACTCCTGGTGGTACTCAGGGGACCACATGCGGTGCTGGGAATCGAACCTGAGTCGGCCGCATGCACCCTACCTGCTGTGATATTGCTCCAACCCCCAAAGGAATGAAACTTCTTAAAGTAATGGAGGTTTCTTCCTATGTCTTCTACCCTCTGAGGGAGATTATCAGTCAGTAAGCAGAATATAGAAATATATCATTGCCCATATTGGTTCAAATCTTTGGTGCTATAGACCTACAAGGAATTGGAGTGGGCCACTAAAATTAAGCATTGTAGTGAAAGAGGGATGCTTAGATCATTCTTGACTCCAGTGTTTAGAGAGGAGACTGACAGAGAAGGAAAGAAATCTAGCGGGGAAGAAGAGAATAAAAAATAAAAGATTAACAGGCATCAGGGCTTCAGTTACATCAGTGATATAAGTGAGGGGGATAGCCATATATCCAAAACACAGATTCAACAGAACTGAAAACATGAGATCTAAGCGACAACCACTGAAGCTTTGTAAGGTGCCTGTCAAGTTGACAGGTGGGGGTGGAGTGGAGGATGGGATGGGAAGAGAATCTGGGAACACTTGTGGAGGGAAGTGGACACTGGTGGAGAGATTGGTGTTGCATTGTTGAATTATTTTATGACTAAAATGCAACTATCAGTAAGTTTGTAGATCATGTCTCTTTAAAAAAAATTTTTAAGTACATTTATCTTTCATTTAGTGCCTTTAACTTCTAGCTAAGATGTTCTTACTACTAGCATGCCATATTAAAAAAAATCAAAACAATTTCTAAGTTATATTTCAGTCCTTGTGATTTACATTACTGTCAATGATAGGATTTCATTCATACAATGTTTCAACAGCAGACCTCCACCAGAGTGTCCAGTTCCCAAGGTCCCCCTCTACCCTCTCACTGCCATGGTCAGCTCAGTTATGGGAACTAATTCTCAGATTCTCTTGCTTTGGGCTATTTGTTAAAGGCTAGAGTATTTTGGCGGGGGTGGGGTGGGGTGGTACATTCGCAAGTGTTTGGGGGACCACTGCCAGGGTGTAGTGTGATGCTCTTGTAGCATACCTGTAGTTGCCCCCGATTGTAGGATTATATACTCAGGCGTGTTTAGAGAAACTTTCACCCATTTTACTCAACTTCCTTATTAATAGAGCCTAGGAATTTTTCCCTCTTTACCTTCCAAATTACAGGATTGATAGTAAAATATATTCCACCCAACACCTTATTTAAAGTCTCATAGGGGCCCTCATACATCCCCCAGCTGCCACCATGCAAATTCATAAATTGGAACAGCTCTACGGGTTTAAGACTACATCTTTAAAGAGATGCAAGCCAATTGGAAAGAATTCATGCGTACATACAGCAGTTTTCAGGCTGAGAGCTATAGGGTCTTCTCAGAGTGGGTGGAAAGTCTTTCCCCCAACTTCCCGACTTCCTGAAGTCCTGAAAGTCACACCCACATCCCACACTTGCTGTCAAGTAAACAGGGCTACAGATTCTGAAACTCCTGGAGTGCATGGCTCTGTGATGTCTCCAAATGCCACAATACTGGTGCTCCAGTATGAGCACACTAAATTAGATGCACAAGAAATGTGGAAGCCAACTATGCTCAGTAAATAAAAACAATAACACAGCACGCTCAACTAGCAACAAACAACTTAGTAAACCCTCAGATAAGGACTTAATGACCCATGGGGAGAAACAACAATTTTCACAAATTTTCTTTTACTGAAGTATCTTTTTTTAATAATTCCATTAGCCATTTAGTTGTAACAAGAAATATAAAATAAGCTTTTGTTCATGCCAAAGGGGCAGGCTAGAGGGGTGGTAGGGAAAATGGGGACAATGGTGGAAGAAGGGTCACTCTGGTGGTGGGATAGGGGTCGGAACATTTGATATCTATGATAATCGTATTATGAACTATTTTGTAAGCCATTATGTTTAAATAAAGTAAAAAAAATAGAAAATCGCATAGAAGCAAGTTTCTAGTTAAATCCTTTCAAATAGCAGACTAAATTTTACAAGTTATTTTTCTAGGACATTATACCAAGTAAGTATAATTCAATAACAATTTTTTCCCTTTAGCTTTCTTATATTTCAAAATTGTCACTAACTTCCTATTACGTACAGAAATAAACTTAAAGTTGAATACTAATCATTTAATGAGATTTGACAGTAGGACATAAGGTGATGTTTACTGACCTCTACTACTGTTTTGCAAGAGGCAGAATATTTCATAGGTTTATTGGTTAAACAGCATAATTCTCCTAATATTGCCCCACTGATCAAGTAGTCTGTGTAAAAGATCTCATCATCTTGCTCCTCTGACTCCCAGAGTATTTGGTTAATCCCAAAACCTGGCTTTGATCTTTGAAGCTGTTCAGGAACAAAGAAAGAAAAGTACATATGCAAAATTAATTTACTACATTTTTCTTTGACTTTTAACAGTTTTTATATATGCATGTGTTTTAAGAAGATTATTTGTATCTTCTCAAGCAAATTTATTAAACTAACAATAATTAGAAATAAAAGATTTAAACATGTATGTATTTTCAATTCCTTTCTACCCAGACAATCTGTATTTGTTGGAGAATGGCAAAATCTCCAACTCAATAAATATTGAATAAATTTACATTGTACATTTCTATCTTAATGGTCATCTTTTGTTTCTGCATCTTATGAGAGAGTATGATTTAAGAGGGCATGAATGATATTATCCATAGTATCAGAACAAAAATTGTTTGAATATAGATGCAATTTTAATGTAGAAAAATAATTAGTCAGCCATATAAATTAATGCCTGCAAGTGCATTTTTAATAACTCTACCTTACCTTTATCATGCCTGAAATAATGATATAAATTCCTTCAGGCTTTTCACCTTCTTCAAATATATAATTTCCACAGTCATATGTTATAAATTTAGATTCTTCCTAAAAAATTTTATATAACACTTTAATTATAAATACTTCAGCCGTACTAGAGATGCTTAAGTTTACATCATGTATGCATTTTAATATTTTTATATAGTATACATTTATAGAAGAAAATAATTTTTAAAAATGTAACCATTTTATCGAAGTACTGGGATTTATAATGCTGTTTTAAATAAAAGTTTGTAATAAAAATAAATATAGATGTAAACTATCACCTGAATAGACTAGATGTATTCAATTTAAATGAAACATTATTTCACTATTGAAAATGCATAAAACCCTTAGCAAGCTAGAAATAAACAGATCTTCCTTAATCTGGTAAAGGGCAATCACAAGGGCCATGAGTAAAAATTTGCTATAAATAATATTTTAGCAGTGACTGTAGGTGGGGCTGGAGCGATAGCACAGTGGGTAGGGTGCTTGCCTTGCAAGCAGCCAACATGGCCGACCCAGGTTTGATTCCTCTGCCTCTCTGGGAGAGCTTGGCAAGCTACAGAGAGTATCTCGCCCGCACGGTAAAGCCTGGCAAGCTACCCGTGATGTATTCGATATGCCAAACACAGTAACAACAAAGTCTCATGATGGAGACATTACTGGGCCTGCTCGGGAAAATTGATGAACAACGGGAGGACAATGACAGTGACAGTGACTGTAGGTGTTGGTTTTTATTCAAAGTATTCATATTATATTTAATATCTGAGAAAAAATTCTAGAAAAAAAAGGAAGGTGAGTATATAAATGAGTATATCTAACTTTGGATGGGTTATCTATATATGATTTAGGCAGGAACTGTGTCTTGCCTACACCATATATAGATAATGGCCATTTATTAGTTAGTTCTTGCCTAAGCCATATATGGATAAATGGCCTTTTTTGAATAAGGCTATGTTTTTCTGGATAAAAAATAACCAGGAGCTATGCAAATAGCATATGTATGTCTCAAACATGCTCTAAACCAGGGCATCTTAAAATTTTCCACTTGTAATCCCTTTTTACACAAAAAAGCAACGTGGGTGAGCACTGCCAGTAAAGCCTCATACTCAGCATGTGGTTAATTTTGGATCCATTTTTGACCATTGTTATAAGTGTTCTACTATTGCTAAATTTCTCATGACCTCCCACATTCAGATTCAGTTATGTGACTCTGTATGGTGTCAAAACTCACCATACTGAGGTTAAGAAGCTGGGCTCTAAATAACTATAAACTAAGTAATTCTAACTATTTAAAATATTTTAAGTAGGCCAAAAATATTGTTAACCCAAAAAAACTCTAGGAAGAGGACTTTTTTTAGAACAAGTTATGTCTATTCATTAATTCATCAACTCATTATTTAATTCCTCAAATAGTTATCCTCATTATCCATACAATGTGCAAAATGCTGGGTATTATAAAAATTAGTGAGCTCTCTCTCTATATATACACACACATACATGTATATATGTATATATATAACAGAGACATTTATATACACACATATGTGTATATATATACATAAGTCAGGATCTCACACATCTAAGTATGTGCTCTACCAGTTGAGCTATTTCTCCTGCCTCAATTTAAAATTTAATGCACCATATAGTAGTACATTAAATATGTCATTGCTTCAAAATGAACATATTTCCATATATACATATGTATATAAACTGTGGAGGAGTCTGAGCAGTATTATGGAGAGTAGGACATTTGTCTTGTATGCGGATTTGATTCTGCATTCCATATGGTCCTCCAAGCTCTGTCAGGAGTAATTCATGACTACAAAGCCAGGCGTTACCCCTGAGCATCCATTGGTGTGACTGCCAACAAACAAAAACTATGGAAAAGAGACATAATTGTAACATAATATACTTGGTAAGATGAAACAGGTGTATGATAGATGCAAGGGTAAAACCTTTGGTCTCTAAATTGAGAATGGAACCACAAAAATTTCTTATTGTGTGTTTTTGACTCAGAACTTACTTTTCTGAATACTGGAAATGTATCCAAAGAAGCAATTAGAAGAAATACTTGGGGAAAATATGAAAAACCAAGGGCATTCAAGAAAATAGCACACCCCAGGGGGAATGGAATTAAAAAGAAATATAAAATGCTTAGGCTACTATGAATAGATTGGGGTATATGATGAACAGAAAGTAAAAATAGCTAGACAGGAATGTTTTAGAAGAAACGTGCATGTCAGCCAGAGAGACTTTTATATTATACTACAGATAATAAAGGACATTTAAAGACTCAAATGATAGTTAAATCTTAATTTTTTAATTGGAGCCACCCCGGGTGACATTTAATTCTGGTAGTGCAGGCCTGATGACCCAGTTTAACAACGCAGTCCTGTTTTGCCCCGAGAGTGCTAAAGGACAACCAAGGATATATCTGGTGATATTCAAGGGCCAGTGTGACGCCAGGGATTGAAATCAGGATCTCACACATCTACGTGTGTGCTGTACTGATTGAGATATTTACCTTTTCTGAAGCTAAATTTTAAAAAAACCATAGAGCGGTACATTAAATATGTCATTGTTACAAAATAAACTTACCAGAATGAAGTTTATTTTATTCTGGTCTTTATCTAGCCATGGGATATGAAGTAATGCTTCACTAACAGTTAGAGGTTTGATAGTAGGTTGAAGATTGATTATTTCTTTCTTTTTGGCCATTATTAACTAAAAGCACAAAATTAAGGCAGTGGGAAACTGTTATTCACAGACACTTTTATAACAATTGACTTTTTTTCATAATTTCCCTTTCTCGTTCTTAGAGTTTTATTAGCACACAGAAACCTCAATTTTTTTTACCTCTTAGCATTTTCTTATGTTACCATAGGACTAAACTTTTAAAAGACTTATAAAGTTCAGTAAATATGTAAAAAATTAAGAAATCATAAATGCTACTCAAGAAGGAAAATTGATAGAGTGAAAAGATATGTGGAACCAGCATCGATTAAGAAATGAAACATTTACTACAACCTAAATTTTCCTTTATGTTCTCTTTCAGACATCATTCCTATACAAATAGAAATACTCTTTCATGTACATAGTCTAATTTGATCTAGTTTTAAGTTTTATCATGAAATCAATGAATTGTGCACTCCTGTGTGTCTGGTTTTATTTTCTCAACATTAGATTTCTGAAAATTGCCTATAATACTAGAGGGAATGGAATTCATTCATGTCTAAGTATAGTTTTAAGTTGTGTAATATTATATATTATATGTATATATTATATACCATATCAAATACGTCTCGGGTAGCTTGCCAGGCTTTGCTGTGTGGGCGAGATACTTTTTGTAGCTTGCTGGGCTCTCCGAATTGGCCAGGTTGGCCTGTGCAAGGCAAATGCCCTACCCACTGTGCTATCGCTCCAGCCCGTATATGAACATTATGTTGTATAAATATGTTACAGTTTTATTTATCTAATAGTAACCAACATTTGATTTATACAAGCTTTAGGCTTCTGTAATATTGCTCTATTTCTTTGCTGCTGTACATACATGTACACTTTGTTAATATATGTTTATGTAACCCAATTTCTGGGTTATAAGATAGACTCAGGTTCAGAAAATTCGACATTTTTTTTAATAACATAAGCATACTGCTATTTATTCAGCCATTGATTAAGCTGATTGAACTGGACATGAACTCCACATTACTTTTTCTTTTTTTATTCAGAATGTTTATTTTATTTTATTATTACTTTCCTCCACCCTCTTTTTTTTTGATTCACTGTGAGATACAGTTACAAAGCTTTCATGTTTGAGCTTCAGTCATACAATCATCAAACACCCATCTCTTCACCAGTGCACATTTTCCACCACCAAAATTCCCAGTATTCCCCCACCCCATCCCCATTCCAACCCTTACCTGCTGTGTGTGGCAGAAAATTTCCCCCATACTCTGTCTACTAAGGTTATATTCAATATTTCAATACCAGTCTCAACACCACTCAAACCTGCTGAAAAGGCAATGCTAGACAACTTGCTTTGTATTGATTGTTATGGATAGAATATAATGTCTAAGAAATTCTGTGTTGCTCTTTTCTGGAAGCTTTAGTTTATAGTCCCTGGCTCTTGGCAGTTGATGACAATACATGGGGGGGTGGGGAGGGAGCGTGGTTTGTGGATGTGACTGCCAAGCTACTTGAAAACTGGGGAGCTGGGGGGAGGAGGCCCAGTCCCGATCCGAGCGGGCCTGGAGATCTCAGTCATAGGTTTCCCTCATACCTGGGTTTTCCTGTCGGTCCGCTCTTTGGTGAGGTTCATCTCGTCTTGAGTGAGGCTCGTCGACTCTTGGGGGAGGTGATCTGAGCATGTGTAGAGTGGCCTTGCGCCTAGTGGCAGTTGGGTTCTGGAGATTTTTGGTGGCAGGGGCTCTACTTAGGATGGGGAGGGAGACTCAACTTGGCCTTCCGAGGTGCCCCAGTGAAGACAGCCTGGTGCGAGGTCAGGGCATTCTGTGGCACTCTCTTCTGGGTCTTGACCATTGATGAGATTGCAAGGCATCCAGGACAGTCTGTGGGTGTGACTGTCAAGGTACTGGAAAACTGGGGACCTGGGGGAGGAAGCCCAGTCCCCATCCAAGCAGGCCTGGAGATCTCAGTCAAGGGTTCCTGCCTACCTCCATGCTATAGGACCTAATTGCGTCTTTTGATCTCTTTAAAGATTTATGGGTCTCTGAAATAAGGCCAATAAGTGAGCTTATATAGTTGAGCTGTAGGTGGTTTGTGGGTGTGGCTCCCACATACCTAACTTTTGGCCGTTTAATTTCTTGGTAAACTTCGCCCCAAGTTATTGGGGTCTGATCAAAGGCACAGGAGCAATTTTGGGGTATCTGGAAGTCTGAAGGTACCATCAGACTGCTGATGCACTCACTGCACAGGTATAGGTTGACCTGCTGGTGGCACTATACCTCCCTCTACAAATTTTTTTTGCAAAATATTTGGATCAATTTATATACCTGATTGAGTGGTCCACATTGTTGCCTACATTTGGTATTATTAATTAAAAATGTTTAATTTGATTATTCTGATTTGGGATTTAATTTTGATTTTATTTGTATCAAACTATGATAATAATATTTGGCATCTTTTGGTCATTTTTATATTTTTGTTGTGAAGTACTCTGTAAAATGTTTTGCTCAAGTTTTTAAAGTATATTTTAGAAATTGAAGTTGAGGCAACATGTTTACAATATTGTTAATGTGTATGCTTTTGGTACAAAAATCTGCACAGTTTTTAAAAATAGTAGATTTTCAGTAGATAAGCAATTCTAAAGAGTTTTATAAATTCTTTGAATAAACTTTGGCTAATTTAAGCAAGAGCTGTTAATAGATTGAATCAGTATTAGAGAAATGTTGATTTTCTCTGAATTGATGTACAGGCTCACAGTAGACCCCCCAAAATTTTTGGTTGGTTATTTAACAAAATTTGACAAGCTGTATCTAAAATATAAAATTTATTTGAAATACCACATGGCAAATCCCAGCAAGCTACCCATGACGTATTCGATATGCCAAACACAGTAACAAGTCTCACAATGTTACTGGACCCACTCGAGAAAATTGATGAACAATGGAAGGACAGTGACAGTGACAGTGATTTGAAATACAAAAAGTCAAAGGTAGTAAAAAAATCTTAAAGAGCAAAACCATATACAATATAAATATTTATTTTGTAACACATACTGTACAGTCACTGAATTTATATGTATTTCACTGCAGTGCTTTAGGGTATAATAGCTTTTTATAAATGAGGTTTTATCACTTAACAATGAGGCTTTATCATTTAACAGTGATTTATCATTGAATGTAACACATTGGTCTGTTCATTACTTTTTACATGGTAAATTTTCCCAGTAAAGAGATTTTCTTCACTTTTTGTTTTGGGGTCATTCCTAGCTGTGTTCACAGCTTACTCCTGACCAGGGATCATTATGCGCAATGTTGGGATTTCAACCAAGGCTGGCCTCGTACACGGTGACCACCTTAATCTTAATCTCTGACTCTTTATACTAGATTTTATAAGTTTAAGACTCTTGGTCTTTCTAGCCAGTGTCAAAGATTTTTGCCTCTTCTCTTTCACCACTCTCCCTTTTCGTTCCCCCCATCCCCAAATTTAGAATGACTCTCCAAGGTTAGGAAAAACTAAAACAGACTGCACAGGCATTTTGTGGTTTGGGAGGTGTCAACTACCTGTCTCAGGGAAAAACTCCCTCATTGCGTTATATTGGCTCTGTTTGGCCAAAGTTGAACTTTCAGGAAACGTTTGCACTGGTGAGGACTGAGGCCCTTGACTGGACAGTAGAGACTGTACAGAGTTCTCTTTGATCTCTCTCCTCTTTGATCTTCATTACCATACAGAAAAACACAAGCTGTTGATGCTTCTCCATTATTTTCTGTGTATGTGATGTGCATTCCAACTATATCTCACTGTTCTTGCTCATGAATATGTATGAGTTTGCTGAAAATATACTAAAATATGTGTAAGCTGTCACATCATAATGCTGGACGTAATACTGTACTCCCCTATTCACTCTAAAGTTATTCTACAGCCCGTGCAGGCTATGCATTCCAACTTCAGCAGTTTCAATTAAGTCACCCTTTTATATTCAGTTGTTCCTGTACTTTTTCCAAGGATGAAACCAGAAGAAATACAACCTTCTCTTCTATTGCTGTTTTTGATGTTTTACACATGGATTTGAATGTGAATTCTGGAATTTGAATCCCTGTATTGGATTTTGAATGCTTGCATTTAAATACAGCCCAGTTGCCTGACCTTGGGGCAATTTTCTTAATCACTCTGTACCTTTAATACTAAACAACAATGAACCCAGGCCATTACAGCATTCTGGGTTTGTATACAGTATTATTTACTCTTTTCACTAAAGATATCTAGGGGTGGAAAAGTAGCAAACCCAAACTAAAGAGACAGAGCTTCTTATACAGGCAATAAATAGTTTAAGGAATTCATGGCTTTGAAACCAGTTTTGGAAGAAGCAAAGAACTTCCTAAAGGACAGGACAAACTTCCCAGCATGTGGCATTGAATATGATACTCATGTGCTTACAATTGCCCTCTGCTAGTTTAAGAAAGGCATGTAACTCCTAGATTGCTAAGAGATTTAATATATTTTTTATTAATTAATTAATATCTCATTTACATTGATTTTCTATGTATGATTAGTTTTATACATAATCCATAGAGATTTCTATTGCAATCTTTTACTAGGTTAGAAAATAAATATATTCTTCACATTTGATTATAAAATTTATGTAATTTCTGCTAAATCATAGTGAAGCCTTTGCCTCCTCATATCATGTGCAGTTCTAATATTATATTTTCATAATTATTTTGAATGCCTGAGCATTACTTATTGAATGGTATCTCATTTCTCCTAATTTGAAATGCCACTTTATTATACACTAGATAACTGGTTTTTTTGCTTTTGCTTTTTTTTTTTTTTAGTTTGCAACTAATCTCTTTGTTGCATGGATATAGTTCATTTTCATACAATTCTATTTCTGTATTATTTGACTATTCTAGGTTTATATTATGCCTTACTGCCTAACATTAACTCACAAATTTTCCCCATTTTTCATGTGTTTAAAATATACTAACTATAAAATTTATTATCTTAGTCGTTTTACATGTACAATTATTTTATGTTATTTGAAGCAACTATAATTGATATAACTTTACTATTTATTTTTTGAGTGCCTAGTTTATTTTGTATTTTTTTTTACATTACTCTCTTCTGTATTTAGTTGAGATTTTTGTGACAAAACACAAATTAATTTCTCACTTATTTTTGTGTATATTCTTTAGTTACTTTTCTTTTGGTTACTATAGATATTTCACTTAACATTATAGAGTCACTGTCATTGTTACTGTCTTCCCATTTTTCATCGATTTGCTTGAGCGGGCCCAGTAATATTGTGAGACTTGTTACTGTGTTTGGCATATGGAATAAGTCAAGGGTAGCTTGCTAGGCTTTGCCATGCAGTGAGATTCTCTTGGTAGCTTGCCAGGCTCTCTGAGAAGGGTGGAGGAAGCAAACTCAGGTCGGACATGTTGGCCGTGTGCAAGGCAAACGTCCTACCCGCTGTGCTATTATATACTAATTTAAATTTATGTATACTTAACTTCTAGGTCTTTTTGCATTACTTGTATCACTTAACAAGGAAATTTAAATTTTAGTCAAATTTTATTCTATAGTTGTCAAAAATCATAGTTTCTTTGGGAAAAGCCATCTAAGAACCACAGATATGTTGTTAACCACTATCTTTAACTAAAGAATCACTGACACTGTCCTCCTGTTGTTTATCGATTTGCTTGAGCGGGCCCAGTAACGTCTCCATTTTGAGACTTCTTGTTACTGTGCTTGGCATATTGAATATGTATCTTTGCTGTGCGGGAGAGATACTCTCTGTAGCTTGCCAGGATCTCTGAGAGGGGAGGGGGAATCGAACTCGGATTGGCTATGTTGGCTGGTGCAAGGCAAACGCCTTACCCGCTGTGCTATCGCTCCAGCCCAGAGAAAAGAATAGATTCCTCATTTCTTTACTTTGAGAATAAAGCATGGAAAGAAATAGTTTCTCATTCTGGAAGAAAAGGAAAGAGAATTTGACCTCTAGAGATAATGGAAGGAAACTCTTTGGGTCAGTTCTTTACTTCAAGTAAGTATCTTAAGCTAGGTACTTAGATGTCTGGGATAGCCTATGATGCAGAGTCAACACTAATTTGAAGATCATGACTATATGTAAGAATAATTTCTTTGAAAATTTTCTATTTTACCTTATTAATTTCAGAACTTTCAATTTTTTGAATAGCTCCCTTTAACCCAAAATTCTTTACAATTTCTATAGCCATATTGAGCATGACATTTATCTGTTCCACCGTTTTCATAGCAACAGCAATTTCTGGGTGATCATACTCTAAATAACCTGAAAAGTAACAAAATATTTTCAGATATAATAAGGACATTACTTACACATTTAATAAATATTTATAATAGACCAAGATTTAGTACTGAACATAAGGAAATGCAGTTCTGAAGTCTCTAAAATTCATCATAATTTACCATGAGTTGTGTAGTCCTGCTTGCCATTTCATTTTCGACAGCATATACTTAAGGTGCTTAAATACATGAAAAAGCACAGAAAGTCTCAGCTTGAGAATCAACAATCCTGTCTCACCTGTATTGATCACAGATTCTAAGTCTGGAGTCTATGACCCACTTTTTTGTTCTGTTTGAATAATATATTTTACTACACATCGCATGCTTAAACATGGATTCTGATTAAGTTCTCTTGCTATGTCATAGTTAGTGACCACCCGTCCAGTCTATGTATTTATTTATTTAACTTACTTCTTTTTTGCATTTTAAGTAACATGGTTACAAAAGTGTTAAATGTTTAAGGTCCTGTTGTATAAAATTAGTGTATTTTCACCACCAAAGTGTCCAACACCCTTCAGCACTGTCCTTGTGCCATTCCAAGTCCATTTCTTTCTTCCTTCTGTTCTGTACTACCACTGCTTAAATCAGTTTTTATTCATTTTGTTTGTGTGCTGCTATCACAAGAGAATTTTCAGAATTTTTCTTTTCAGTCATCTTGGCTCACTCAACTTGTATATTTAGACGATCCATTAAGAATGAATCATGAGTGGCTGAAATGATAGCACAGCAGGTAGGGCGTTTGCCTTGCACACGGCCAACCCAGGTTCGATTCCCAGCATCCCATATGGTCCCCCGAGCACTTCCAGGGGTAATTTCTGAGTGCACGAGCCAGGAGTAACCCCTGTGTATTGCCGGGTGTGACCCAAAAAGCAATAAATAAATAAGTGCGGGTAGGGCGTTCGCCTTACAAGCTGCCAACATGGCCGACCCGAGTTCGATTCCTCCGTCCCTCTCGGAGAGCCTGGCAAGCTACCGAGAGTATTCGATATGCCAGACACAGTAACAACAAAGTCTCCAATGGAGATGTTACTGGGCCCGCTCGAGCAAATAAATAAGTAAATAAATAAATAAATAAATAAAAATTAAAAAATGAATCATGATAAGGGCTGGAGCAATAGCACAGCAGGTAGGGCATTTTGCCTTGCAAGCGGCCAACATGGCCAACCCGATTTTTTTTCCTCTGCCCCCTCAGAGAGCCTGGCAAGCTTCCGAGAATATCTAATCCACACGGCAAAGCCTGGCAAGCTACCCATGACGTATTCAATATGCCAAACAGTAACAATTGTCACAATGGAGACATTACTGGGCCTGCTCGAGCAAATTGATGAAAAATGGGAGGACAGTGACAGTGACAGTGAACCATGAAAAAGTCACTTCATATATTTCCTATATTATAGGTACCAGTGAACCCAGGCCTCTCATCTCTTTACCTCTCCATAACTCACTATAAACATCCAAAGACATCTGTAGATTCCTAACTACACAACAACACACAAGAAACAACTTCAAATGCAAAGGTCACAATGGTAAAGCAGCACAGAAACTCACCAGGCTTAGTGAGTTTTGCTAATCCAGATGATCCAACAAGTAGTAATGAGTTATATAATCTCTCTGATAAGGAATTTAGAATGGAACTCTTAAAGATGAATAAAGAACTCAAAGAAACAATGGCATTCACTGTCAATAAAATACAGGAGGATATAAGAGCAGAAATAAGAAAAATACAAACAAAAATACAAGCAGAAATGACAGATCTGAAAAACCCGGTAGGTGAAATAAAAAACACATTGGAAGGTCTCAGCCTCAGAGAAACAGGTGTTAAGTGCAGAACTAGTGAGCTGAGGTAACAAAAAATCTCCACACAACAGCAGAAGATGAAAAAGTGCCTCAAACCAACAGAGTACAAGAGAACATTTGGATGAAATCAAGTACAACAGCTTAAGATTCAGTGGGGTACCAGCAGGGCAGATAGATAACCCTGATGAAGAAAAACAGCAGTCAAAGCCATTCTTGCTGAGAAGTTCCCAGAGCTGAAGAGTGCATACACCCAGATCCAGAAGGCCCGAGAGGTACCAACTAAAGGAAATCCAAATAAAAATACTCTGAGACACATCCTAATCATAATGATAAAAACCATAGATAGAAATAGAATACTGAAAGCAGCAAGATCAAAGGAGAAATCTACTTACAAGGAAGCATCCTTAAGATTTTCAGCAGATATTTCAGACAGAACCCTTAGGACTTGAAGACAGTTGTGGGATATAGTGAAAAAACTCAATGAAATGAATGCCTCACCAAGAATACTTTACCCAGCCAGATGCTTAATTGAAATTTGAACGAAAATACACAACTTCACAGATAAACAACAACTCAGAAACTTCATAGACTCAAAATCATTGTTACAAGAAGAAATAAAGAGGTTACTTCGAGATGAGACAAGTCATACAGCACACCAAACTCCTGAAGAAAGATGGCACAAAATCCCATAACAATAGTTTCTCTCAATGTCAATGGTCTAAATGCACCAATTAAGAGACAGAGTGGCAGGATGAATTAGAAAATTGAACCCAACACTCTGCTGCCTGCATGAAACATATTTGAACAGCTAGAACAAACACAGATTCAAAGTCAAAAGCTGGAAGACAATTCTTTTTTTTTATTTTTTAAATATATATTTTTATTTATATAATCTTTATAATCTTTCATCAGTTATTTGTAGTTTTAAGTATATAACTCTTTTTTTTTAAATTTATTTATTTATTAAATCACTGTGGGAAAAGTTACAAAGCTTTCAGGTTTAGGTCTCAGTCATGCAAATATAAAACACATTTCGCTTTACTAATACTTATTTTTTACCATGAAGAACCCCAATAAAACCCCACCTCCCACCCCTCCCAGTCCCTGTGAGGCAGATGAATTCTAGTTAACACTCTATCTGCTTTGATTAGATTCATTGTTTCAATAAAAGATTCACCACTATTATTTAGAGTTTACCCCCCCCCCCCCTCAATCAGACATGCTGAAAAAGCATTGTGAAGTGATTTGCTTTCTACAGCTGGGTTCAAGAATTAAATGTTGGTTTTGGATTTCTGCTATTTTACTTATCAACCCTGGAAGTATTTCTACTGAAAGTCAGATAATTAAGAGATTGTTTTCTGTGCTCTGGAGTCGTGGCCGTGCTGGAGAGCCGCTCATGGGGGGCAACTGGTGACCTCGGTAGGGCGTGAAGGGCGGACCGAAATGCCCCCCTTCCCATGAGGTTTTAGTTGCCCCCACACCCCCGGCTCATACCTGCTGTCCACAAGGCTCCCATGCGGCCGCCATCTTTCTTTCCAGAGAAGAGAGGGCGAATGGGGCAACACCCTTTCCCCTCCGGGCAGACATGATGGCCTGGATTAACGCATAGTCCGTTCACTTTTCTGCTCCAAGCTGCTGGGTTCTGCATTAAGTCCTTGTGCTTCTGGGGCTGTGGCTGTGCTGGAGAGCCGCTTGTGGGGGGCAACTGGTGGCCTCGGTAGGGCGTGAAGGATGGACTGGAACGCCTCCCTTCTCATGAGGTTTTAGTTGCTTATTATCCCATAACAATAGTTTCTCTCAATGTCAATGGTCTAAATGCACCAATTAAGAGACAGAGTGGCAGGATGAATTAGAAAATTGAACCCAACACTCTGCACACATCCCACACCCCCGGCTCATACCTGCTATCCACAAGGCTCCCAAGCGGCCCGCCATCCTTCTTTCCAGAGAAGAGAGGGCGAATGGGGCAACACCCTTTCCCCTCCGGGCAGACATGATGGATACGCATAGTCCGTTCACTTTTCTGCTCCAAGCTGCTGGGTTCTGCATTAAGTCCTTGTGTTTCTGGGGCTGTGGCCGTGCTCCAAACTTAACTCTGATTTTCAGGGAGAAACGTTGGGTGATTTACTTCCCATTGATCACTTTGTATATAGAGAGATGTCGCGCGGCTGCTTATGCGACATTTGGAGGAAAAGTCCATTTGGTTTGGAGGAAAAGTCCTAGTTCCCGCATACTCGAGCTATGCTTGTAGAGGCTTCTGGTCACCGGGGTTCCATCTGGGGGAGGCAGGATGCGGCACCTACCCCATCTGGGACTTCCCGATGATCTCGGCTCTTTTTGGAACCTGGTTTTTTCTCCGGGAGCTGTGGAGCCAGCCCTCCATGTGGCCCTTCTCTTCGGCTGTATGGAAGACAATTCTTTAAACAAAGAACCTCCTCAAAAATGCCAGGGTGGCCGTTCTAGTATCAGATCACATAGACTTCAGGTTGAAGAAGATTATACAACACAGTGAAGGTCATTTCTGAATGATCAAAGGATCTATTCATCAGGAAGACCTCACATCCCTATACATATATGCACCAAATGGGAACCAGCAAAATAATTAAAACAGCTGCTAATAATCTTGAAAAAAGACATTGATAGCAAAACAATAATAGAGACTTCAACACCGCTTTATCAGCTCTTGATAGATCATCCAGACTATAAATTGGCAAAGAAATACTTTGAGAGAAGAAATGGAAGAAAGTGTGTGTGTGTGTGGAGAAAGAGGGAGAGAGAGAGAGAAAGAGAGAGAGAGAGAGAGAGAGAGAGAGAGAGAGAGAGAGAGAGAGAGAGAGAGAGCGTTTTTCATCCTCAGGAACCTAAATACATTCTTTCCCAGTGCACATGGAACATTCTCCAAGATAGACCACATGCTGGGCTACTAAACATAGCTCCATAAAATTAAGAGGATAGAAATTGTATAAACTATCTTTTCAAACCATGAGGCACTGAAAACTGAAGTTAATTACACACAGAAACCAAAAATCAAAGCAAATACCTGGAAATTAAACAGTTTGCTGTGGGGCAAATGGTGGCTTAGAAAGGAAATCAAAAGGTTCCCGGAAACAAACAAGAATACAGACATGAACTACCAGAACTTGTGGTAAACAGCAAAAGTAATGTCAAGAGGAAAGTCTGTAGCTCTGCAAGCATTCATCAGGAAGGAGAAAAGAGCCTTCAAAAATAACCTAACTTCACAGCTTAAGATCTTAGAAAATGACCAACAAAAGGAGACCAAACCAGGCAGAAGGAAAGAAATAATAAAATTTAGAGCAGAAATAAATGAGCTAGAATCCCAAAATGCAGCTCAAAAGATCAATGAAACTTAGAGCTTGTTCTTTGCTATAATAAACAAGATTGATAAACCATTAGAAAGACTCACAAAGAAAGAGAAAGAAAGAACCTTAATAAATCAAATTAGAAATGAGAGGGAAGATCAACACAGAAACCACAGAAATTCAAAGGATCTTCAATGAAACTTTATGCCATGAGACAAGAGAACCTCAAAGAAATGATTAAATTCTTTGGGTTATAACCTCCCAAGTCTGAACCAAAAAGATTTGGAATACAAATACCTATCACAATCAAGGTCATTGATGGTGATCAAAAGTCATCCCCCAAACAAAAGACTGAGTCCAGATGGATTCAAGAATAAATTTTTTCAAACCTTTAAAGATGACCTTCTGCCAATCCTTTTCAATCTTTTACAGGAAATTGAGAAAACAGAAATACTTCTAGTTTCTATAAGGCAAATGTAACCCTGATATCAAAAGCAGACAGATACCACACACACACACACACACACACACACACACACACACACACACACAGGAAATTGTAATTTTATAGCCCCGATGAATACATGGAAATATTCTCGACAAAATACTAGCAAATAGAATCCAAAAACTCAACAAAAAGTTCATACACCATGACCAGATAGTATTCATTCCGGAGATGCAAGTATGAATTAACACTCACAAGTCAATCAACATAATAAACCATATCAATAAAAGATAAAAGCTAGAGGATCAAGTCAATAGAAGCAGAGAAAGCATTTGACAAGATCTAGGACCCATTCATGAGTAAAATTCTCAAATAATTGGAGTTGAAGGAACTTTCTTCAGTATAGTCAAAGCCATCTGCCACAAGCCCCACAGCAAGAATTATTTTCAATGGGAAAAAACTAAAAGCCTTCCCTGTGAGATTAGATATAAGACTAGGTTTTCCCACTCTTTTCGCTTCTATTTAATATAGTACTGGAAATACATGCCATAGCAGCTAGGTAAGAAAAAGTCATCATGGATATTCAGAGAGGAAAGGAAGAAGTCAAACTCTATTTGCAGATGACATGATACTCGGAACCACGGTCCTCCCATTGTTCATCGATTTTTCTCGAGCGGGCCCAGTAGCTTCTCCATCATGAGACTTGTTACTGTGTTTGGCATATTGGATACGTCACGGGTAGCTTGCCAGGCTCTGCTGTGCGGGCGAGATACTCTCGGTAGCTTGCTGGGCTCTCCGAGAGGGGTGGAGAAATCGAACTTGGGTCGGCCATGTTGGCTGCCTAGAAAACCTTAAAGACTACAGAAAAGTTCTTAGAAATGATAGTTTTATAGAGTAAAGTGGCAGGCTACAAAATCAATACCCAAATGTCCACGGCTTTTCTATCTATATACAAAAAATGAAAGAAAAGGAAGAGATATTAAAAAATTATCATGTTCAGAATTTTGCCTCAGAAAATCAAGTATCTCAGAATCAGCTTAACTAGAGAGGTAAAGGATATATACAAAGAAAACTACAAAACACTGCTTCAGGAAATGAAAGCAGACACAAAGAAATGGGCATATATTCATTGCTCATAAATCCCAAGGATAAACATTGTCAGCATATTAATACTCCCCAAAGCATTATACAGATTCAATGTAGTGCTTATAAGGATACCCATGACATTTTAAAAAGAAATAGATAAAACATGCCTATAATTCATTTGGAACAATAAACTTCAATGAATAGCTAAGCAGTTCTTGGGAAAAGAAGATGGGAGGCATCACCTTCCCCAACTTCAAACTACTACAAAGTGGCAGTAATTAAAACAGCATGGTATTGGAATAAAGACAGACCTGCAGACCAATGGAATATAGTTGGATATCCTGACATAGACACTCATATATATGATCACATAATTTTGACAAAGGAGCAAGAAATGTGAAGTGAAGCAAGGAAAGTCTCTTCAACAAGTGCTGCTGGAAGCACTGAGCAAAAAACATGCACTCAGATCTCTCTTTCTAGCATCATGCACAAAAGTCAGATCAAAATGGATTAAAGACCTCACAACCTGAATCTATAAGGTACATGGAGGAAAACATAGGCAGAACCCTTCGTGATAATAAAGGTAAAGACATCTTCGAAGATGAAACACCATTGACCAGCAAGTGGAAGGAAAGGAAAGATAAACAAATAAGACTACGTTAAACTAAGAAGCTTCTTCATCTCAAAAGAAATGGTGACTAAGATACAGTGACAGCCCATGAAATGGTTAATTTTTTTTACCCAATACCTACTAGATAAGGGGTTAATATTCAAGATATATAAGGTACTGGTAGAACTTTACAAAAAAAATCCAACCACATCAGAAAATGAGGAGAAGAAATGAACAGAAGGTTTCTCAAAGAAGAATTACAGATGACTAAAAGACACATAAAAATGCTCTACATCACTAATCATCTGGGAGATTCAAATCAATATAATGAGATATCTCACACCATAGAGACTAACACACATCAAAAAGAACAAGAACAATCAGTGTTTTTGCGGATGCAGGAAGAAAGGGACTCATTCACTGTTGGTGGGAATACGAACTGGTCCAGTCTTTTTGGAAAACAATATAAACATTCCTAAAAATATTAGAAGTTGAGCTTTCATATGAACCAACAATACCATTTCTGAGAATATACCCCAGGGGCACACAAACACACAGCAGAAATGCCATCTTCTATGTTCATTGTACCATTATTCACAATAGTCAGAATCTGGAAATAACCCAAGTGCCCAAGAATAGATGACTTAAAGATAGATGGTTAAAGAATCTATGGTTCATCTACACAATGGACATAGAAAAGCAGGTACAAATACACAGCATTTCAAATACAAAGCAGTACAAATACAAGTTCAGAATTAGCAGAAAGTTTTGGCTTACATGTAATCAAGACTGACTTGGGGAACTGTGACAATGAGAGGTAAAATACAAGGGAGAGGTTAAAGATAAACTTCAGCTAAGTTAGGGATGCTAGCAAGGGCATGTTAAACTTCTCTGGGATGAAGAAAGGGGGCAATTCACTGGTGAAGCCTAAAGCACTTAAGAGTTAATATCCAACACAAAGGAAAGGTTGAAGATAGACTTTAATCAAATTAGGGATGTTAACAATGGCATGTTAAATTTCTCTAGGAGGAAGAAAGAGGCAAATCACTGGTGAAGCCTAAAACACAGGATTGATATCCAACAATAAGTAAAGAAACAAACGTGAAAACCTCTCAACATCTGTATTGCAAACCATGATGCCCAAACCACAATGCCCATAGAGGAAGGCTGGGGATAGGAGGTGACGGGAGAGAAATTGGGGACAATGGTGATGCCATATGGACACTGGTGGAGGGATGGGTGTCAGAACATTGTATGAGTGAAACCCAATCGTGAACACCTTCATAACTCTGTATCTCACAGTGATTTAATAATAAAAACAAAACAAAAAAATACTCCCCAAAATGTATAAGGCTGAGAATAATTAAGCAGAGATAATATCACAATATTCCAATCTAGTCAAATATGTAATCATATTGATTAGTAAAGTGTCCACTTTATTGGGAGTAAAGTAGATTCTCTCACTAATCAATTTAGTTAGTAAAATTAGTTCTGTTCCGAAGAAATGAATATGAGGTTGACTTGCTGAATCTTCAGAATGAGAGTTACTTACCTAGCTCTTTCATAGCGTGTACATTATTCTTTGTCATTTTCCTTAAAAGCATCTACAGAACAGAAACAACAATGTACCCATTAGAAAAAAATCTTATTAAAATGCTAACTGATGATTTTAACTACAGATATAACTTTAAAATTAAGAAAGAGAACTTCTCAAGGAATTGAATTGAATTTTGTGCCATAGAATTTTTCTTTGCTCCCGTAAGAATAAGGAAGAGGATAGAAATAAATTGAGTCAAAAATTTTTCTTTATATAATTTGCTTTAGGATACTATTTGCTTATTTGGTTAGGGGGCCTTTAGGCTATACCTGGCAGAGCTCAAGAGTTATTCCTGGTTCTGTGCTAGCAGTGACCCCACAGAGTGCTCAGAGAACTTTGATACTATTGGAATTTACAAATATAAATATATATTTCCAATAAACTTTATAAGACCTGTCAAATTTGAAATATAGTGGTAATATTCAACCAGTTTTGGTTGAAAAATTTTTGGTTGAAATAGTTTTGGTCAATCTGTGTGAGAATAGAAATAAGGACTAAAATGGATAATACCAACAAAACGGGAGACTAACACCCAGGAATGGCTGAGATTAGTACCAGGAATTTTGCTCCACGACTTGAAGGCCAGCCACACGTGCTAGGGGAAAAGGAAGCTCAGATAGAGAAGAGAGCACCAAATAAAGGGTGTTGTGAGGACCCTCCCAGGGTGGGAGAAACATGCTAAAAGTAGTCTATCGACCAAACATGATTGCCTCTCAATGCCTCTCTTGCAAAACACAGTACCCAAAAGAAGAGAGAGAGAACAAGGGGGAATACCCTGCCACAGAGTCAGGGTGGGACGGAGGGGGGGGCGGATGAAGGGTGGGAGGGATGCTGGGACCCGTGGTGGTGGAGGATGGGCACTGGTGGAGGGATGGGTACTTGATCATTGTATAACTGAAACCCAAGCACAAAAATTTATAAGTCTATAACTGTACCTCATGGTGTTTCACTAATAAAAAAATAAAAATAAAAAAATGGACAATACCTTAGTGGTTTGAATGGTTTTTATTTTATTTTATCTTCAAATTTATTGCTCAGTATGAATGGTTAGAAAAAGTGATGAAATTAAGGATAATAGTTTTCCACTTATTTTTAATGGCAATCTCATGATTTATAATAGTTACCACACATCCACTGCTAGAATGCCAATATCCCTTTTTTGTTGTCCCTAGATCCTTTCTCTTCAACCCCCTCTCAATTATTTTAAAGTTACAAGAGATAGAAAAAAGATACCTTTTCTGTTCTGTTGTATGACGAGTGTTCAATTTTCTCAACCATAACATTTTGCTTATAGAGCATAAAGTATTATAATGATATAAATAGCCTTGAAAGATAAATATTTCACTTCACATAGCTGACAAACTTATGAGCACATGAAATGTTAATCTGCTTCAACTAAGAATATAAAACATAGAACTCAAGCACCCAAATTCTCCGATGTTTACCAGCTACATGACACTATTAGCTTTAGTGTCAGTTTTTACATCCTCCATTCAGTAAGATAGTAGACAGGCTTCCCTTTATTTGCGTTATTGCTATTTCTCATTTACCAAATCCCAGTCCTCACTTCTTTTTATGTTTATTGTGAGAAAACCAGAGACAGAGATTGATAGAAATCTTAGGGAATTACGATAAAGCTCTGTTTGCTTAACATTACTATCACTTCTCAAGTGATATTTTCTATTTAATTTATCTGGAGTCTTGCAGACTATTGAACTAACATCTGAAGGGATCTGGTAGGGCACATGTCTTTTGTTTAATTTTGTTTCTTGTTTTGTTTCTGGGTCACCTAGTGGGTGCTCAGGACTGACTCCAGGCCCTGCACTCAGGGAACTGACAGTGCTAGAAGGACCACGTGGGGTATTGAGAATTGAACCCAGGTCAAGGGAAGCACCATATTAGTCTGGCCACTAAGGTATGTATGTGTCTTAGAGTGGCCTCCAGTGGGGATGCATTGCAAGAGCATTCTTAGAAAGGTGAATTCTAAGAGCCTCAAAACTTATTGCACAGACCTTCAGTACGGAGGCATTAGAGTAGTATGAAAGTGAACTAGCATGTTTTGGTCAGTAGAGAGTAAAGTAGAGTAAAGGCCCTCCCGTTGATCATCGATTTGCTCGAGCGGGCCCAGTAACGTCTCCATTGGAGACTTTGTTGTTACTGTGTCTGGCATATCGAATACTCTCGGTAGCTTGCCGGGCTCTCCGAGAGGGGCGGAGGAATCGAACTCGGGTCAGCCATGTTGGCTGCGTGCAAGGCAAACGCCCTACTGCTGTACTTAGCATGTTTTAGTAGAAAAATTAAAGACTACCTTTAGAAATATAGACACTGTACTTGTTAGGTGAGGCAAATAGGTTTGGGAGTGAAAGAAAGAATAAGCAATTTCTTAGTATTTAAGTTTTTCTCACCTGTTTAGACTGTTTAGAACATGCAATTTGATCAATTATAGTTATTGTGTCAGCTTCACCTTGAACATATCCTTTTACTATTGCATACCAAAAGGATTGCTGATCACTTATCTTTTTATCTGTTATTTGCAGTAACTTGGGTGTTATGAGCTGAAAAAAACAGGGCAAATATTTGACATACAGTTAATATAAATTATAGTTGATTACATGATGAATGGTTTAAAATAAGAAGAAATGTCATGCTCTCAACCTTAACCCTTAGTACACTATCAAAGTTCTTTCTTAACTCACACTATTTTAAGTTTAGAGTTATTTTCCTGTATCGTACAATGTCAAATACCAAAAAGGTAAAAGGTAAAGGCCCTCCCGTTGATCGTCGATTTGCTCGAGCGGGCCCAGTAACGTCTCCATTGGAGACTTTGTTGTTACTGTGTCTGGCATATCGAATACTCTCGGTAGCTTGCCGGGCTCTCTGAGAGGGGCGGAGGAATCGAACTCGGGTCGGCCATGTTGGCCGCTTGTAAGGCGAACGCCCTACCCGCTGTGCTATCGCTCCAGCCCAAATACCAAAGTAAAGTTTATTCTTTACCTATTTTCCTTATAGAGTGGAGTACTATTCTTGACTTGTTTCAATTCTTTAGTAACAATGAGGGGTCAAAGAGATATTTCAGGGGCTGGAGCAATAGCACAGCGGGGAGGGCATTTGCCTTGCACGCGGCCGACCCCGGTTCGATTCCCAGCATCCCATATGGTCCCCTGAACACCACCAGGAGTAATTCCTGAGTGCAGAGCCAGAAGCAACCCCTGTGCATGGCCGGGTGTGACCCTAAAAGCAAAAAAAAAAAAAGAAAAAGAAAAAAAGAAAAAAAAAGTTATTTTATGGGCAGGGCATTTGTTTTGCATATGGCCTATTTGAGTTTGATCCTCAGCATGCCCTACAGTCCCCAAGGTGTCAGAACCAAACAAACCAAGACAAAAATTTTTTTTGGAAAAACAATGTGATAACAATCTGACACTTTTATCTTCTAAATCTGCTAATGAACTTCTAACTGAATGTTTATTTGGATTATCTTCCCTTTTCAATGTTTCTTCACCGAGGGTTTAAAGTCTCTAGATTTTCTGCATTTGTTATGAAGTCTCTTCCTTTCATAGAACCTTCTTTTTCTTCTGTTTCTCTGTCTATGGCCAAATGACCATATCCTACTCTCTACTCACATGCAAATAATCCACAAAGACTTTATATTCAGCTTTGCAAGATTCAGTTCAACTATCAGTTGGCAAAGAGGTAAATTGGGAGTGGGGAGATTGGGGGCACACCTGGCCATGTACTATGCTAAATCAATCCTGGAAGTGCTCAGGGGACGATACACGGTGCTACTGATTGAACCCAGGTCAGCAACAAGCAGGGAAAGTGGCTTACTCACTGTAGTAGCTCTCCAACTTCTAGAAACTTTTTGCTATCTAAAAAGTATTCTGTGCATCCTACCATTTGCATTTATTCTACTATATCAGTTTGTTATAGTACAATACAGTCTCTGGAGGCAGACTATTTTTAATTTGTCCTCATTGATCGTTATCCAACCATGTGTCATAAGAAAAGAGTTTCCTGAGTGTATAAATAATCTTCTATCAGGCAATTTATCTGTTTTTTTTTTGTTTGTTTGTTTTGCTTTTTGGAACACACCCAGCGATGCACAGGGGTTACTCCTGGCTCAGCACTCAGGAATTACCACTGATGGTGCTCAGAGGACCATCTGGGATGCTGGGAATCTAACCTGGGTCGGCCATGTGCAAGGCAAACGTCCTACTCACTGTGCTATTGCTCCAGCTCCAATTGATCTATTTCATAATAAAACATTTTTGGTACACTTGTTTGTGCTCTGATCATAAAGAATCAGCTAATCATGGGAATACACTTGTTTTTTGAGGATTAAATTGCGGAATATCATTACATCACTGTATCACTGTATCCTGTTGTTCAACGATTTCCTAGAGCAGGCACCAGTAACGTCTCCTTCGTTCCAGCCCTGAGATTTTAGAAAGTGCCACATTCGTGGCTCCTTCAGGGTCAGGAGAATGAAACCCATCATTGTTACTGGCTTTTGGCATATTGAATACGCCATGGGAAGTTTGCCTGACTCTGCCGTGTGGGCAGGATACTTTTGGTAGCCTGCCATCATTAAATACAATCTTCATATAATACTAAAATATAGAAAAGACTATTAGCACCAGTCTTTTTCAGACTCAGTTGACTATTTAAAAAAATTTTTTTTAACTGGATCACCATGAGAAAACTTTACAAAGCTTTCATGTTTGAGTTTCAGTCATACAATAATTGAACACCCATTCCTCCACCAGTGCACATTTTCTACCTCCAATGACCCCAACATCCCCCTCCCCCATCCCAATCCTCCCCTTGCCTCTATTGCAGACAATTTCCGCTATACTCTTTCTCTACTTTGTGGCATTATGGTTTGCAATACAGATGCTGAGAGGCTATCACCTTTGGTCCTTTATCTACTTTCAGCACACATCTCCCATCCTGACTGATCCCGCCAACCATCATTGACTTAATGATCCCTTCTCTATTCCAGCTACCTTCTCCCCCAGCTCATGAGGCAGGCTTCCAGCCATGGAGAAATATTCCTTGTCTCTACTGTCCTTGTGTGTCAGTCTCATATTATGTTATTTTATATTCCTCAAATGAATGCAGTAATTCCATGTCTGCCCCTCTCTGACTCATTTCACTTAGCACAATACTCTCCATGACAATCCACTTATAAGCAAATTTCATGACGTTATCTTTCCTAATAGCTGCATGGTATTCCATTATGTAGATGTACCCAAGTTTCTTTAACCAGTTGTTTTCAGATTCTGGATATTGTGAACAATGCTGCAATGAACATATAGGTGCAGTTGTTATTTCTACTGTTCTTTTCTGCACCCTCAGGATATATTCCCAGAAGTGGTATTGGTGGGTTATATGGAAGTTCAATTTCTAGTTTTTGAAAGAATGCCAATATTGTTTTCCAAAAAGGTTGGCATTCCTACCAACAATGAAAGAGATCCCCACATCCACGCCAGCACTGGCTGTTCTTATTCTTTTTTGACATCAGTCTCTATGGTGTAAAATTGACTTATATCTCTGAGTAGCAAAAATATTTTAAAACTTTGGGAGAAAGTTCTAAACATCAAAATTCTAACTCTTTAGCCTTATTTCTCAATCAGTCATATATATAATATTTAGATTTGCATTTTTTATATGTACACATGCCTTAACTGTTCATGACTAGAGAAAGAAGCAGAGACAATATGCATTATGATGAAGTGGTTTTCATGTCAAGAAAATAATCAAGAAAGAAAATACTCATCATCTTGATTTTTTGGGGTTTTTTTTGTTTGTTTTTTGGGGGGTTCCATACCCAGCAAAACTTCGAGGTTATTCCTGGCACTGCACTCAGTAACTACTGCTAGCAGTGCTCAGGGAATCAAATGGGATTCCAGGGATCAAACAAATGTTGGCAAAGGCCCTAACCACTGTTATCCCTCCAGTCACAACTACCCAGTATATACCCATTATTTCTATACTTGGTGTAGAAAAATGTTCTCACAATAAAGGTCATTTTGATGCTGTGATTCTATAATTCTATGAATTAATGTAAAATGTGAATTTTATTTTTTTAGTTGTGTGAATATATGTTGTTTTCTTTCTAACTATGAATAGTTCACTAATTTCTTTAATTAAAGATATCTATGAGAATACACATTACTTCATATTGATGTGTATTTACATGGAATTTTTTATGTGGTTTCTATTCAAAGGAAAAAGCTTAAAAACTATTTCCTTTACTTTCTTATGAAGCAAAAGTTTTATTTAGAAAATATGAGAAGATGGTGTGGGGTAACAAAATCAAGAAAATGTGGACTTCTCCAGGATCAGCTCAGTGTACCCACATAAAGTAGAAGAAATTATGTCTCTCGAGTTGAGATAGAGAAACCCCCAAATGCAGATGTGTGCCTTTGCAAATTTGGTTTAGGAGATTTTCCCCAAACTATTCCTGTTTAGGTATTTCTAGGCAGATAAATGTCTGTGGTTAAAGTGGTGTCAGGGTCTTTGAATTTTTGATGGTGTTCTTTCATATTCTTATCACACTCAGTTATTCCTATCAAAGCTCACCCTCTTTTTAACTTTTGCTTGATATTTATTTTAAAAGAAAATAGATCATATTTTATGTACCTTGCTATACTTTCATGTGCTAAATAATTTCTAATACAAATTGAATATTCAAAATATAAAAATTCATCAGAGAGATCTAAAATTTAATACATGAGCACCAGCCAAGAAGAAAATTGAAGCCATAAAGCTAGTAAATTGATTTTAGTCCATAGTCCAAAAAATAGTAAGGAGATACTTGAAATTTCATGATTCAATGTTTCTTTTTTTTCCCCCAGTTTTTGTTTTTTATTATTATTAGTGAAACACCATGAGGTACAGTTGTAGATTTACAATTTTTTTGTGCTTGGGTTTCGATTATACAATGATCAAATACCCATCCCTCCACCAGTGCCCATTTTCCACCACCATGGATAATATCCCTCCCACCCCCATCCCTCCCATCCCACCCTGCCTCTGTGGCAGGGCGATCCCTTGTGTTCTCTCTCTCCTTTTGGGTGTTGTGGTCTGCAAAAGAGGCTTTGAGTGGCAAACATGTTCAGTCCATGGTCTACTTTCAACATGCATCTTCCCTCCTGGGAGGATCCTCCAAGCATCCTTTATTTGGTGCTCCCTTCTCTATCTGAGCTGCCCTTTCCCCTAGAATGCCTGGCTGGCCTCTAAGCTATGGAGTAATCCTCCTGGTGCTGATTTCAGCTATTCTTGGGTATTAATCTCATATTTTGTTACTTTATATTGCCCAGATGAATGCAATCTTTCTATGTCTATCCCTCTCTTTCTGACTCATTTCGCTTAGCATGATACTTTCCATGTTGTACCACTTGTACATAAATTTCATGACTTCATCTTTTCTAAGAGCTACATAGTACTCCATTGTGTAGATGTACCAAAGTTTCTTTAACCAGTCATCTGTTCTTGGGCATTCAGGTTTCTTCCAGTTTCTGGCTATTGTAAAGTGTGCTGCAAGATTCAATGTTTCTTTACCTTTATAATACGTAGCATACGAAGACATCGAACAATACCCATAATGAATGTTACTTCAAATTGAAAAATATTAATAGCACTTGTTTCAATTAGTATTAGTTCAACTATTCCAAAGCAGGTAATTGATAATTCAAATTGGTTCCATGCAAATAAAAAATAATCTTTCCTCATTGCCCCCATCTGTTGAAATAAAAAGAAATAAGAATACCTAGTTTGTTTTTGCTTTTACTGTACTGCTCTATATAATAACAAATACATTATTAGTTAGGATTTATTTTTTAAGTAATCCTTGACCCCACTTGTGTGAAACACTAAGAAATCATAATCATAATTATAATGAAGCATGTATTCCAAAGGTACAAATATTTTTTGAAAATTACTTTTTTGTAATAGTTCATTGTTCCTTCTTTATTTAAAAATATTTTATTAAAAATCTACTATTAGGTGCATGCTCTCTGAAGCCCAGATGAGTCCCCTCCTACCCCAAAACCCTCCTCACTGAGTAGCCACATGCCAGAAAGACTGAAGACCTTATCCTGCCCCTCTGTCCTGTGTCATAGGTACAGTGATTGGTTCCAGCTGATGTCAGTCTGTTCTATAAACTGAGGTTTGGAACCAAGACTAATCTCTAAACTCAAAACATTATTACATGTATCCTTTATATGGAGGGCAGAAAGGCACAGAACTCCTATTTCCCAGACAGCCTTAAATCTCAATTAACTTTACTCAGTAATGAGCTAAAAAAATTTCAGGGCATACTCAAATAGTATTGTATGTTAAAAAACCTGAACAGCAGAAATAGTATTAGGAGATATCTAGTATAAACAACTCAGTAGATCAGCTCTCAAATAACTGAGGATCTAAATCCCCACCACTAACACCCACAAAACTTGAAGAACGATGGGTTGGGGGAGCTAAGGAATTCAGCTGTGCTCACAGATAGGGACAAAAATCCAGAAAGTCTCCAAGCCCATCAAAACACTTTAGCCTGGTAGATGAAGTCCAAAATCAACACGCACTGACTTCATTGGCAGAAATTACGCAAACACTTGCCAGTAAAATTAAGCAATCAGTAGATGATAAATGCAACTAGTTGAAAAAAAAAACTTTTTCAGGGGATGAGAGATTCCATACAAAAGGAATTGAAGGATTTAAGAACACACTAGCAAGTCATAGTAGCAGAATCTCACAGGGGGTGGTGGGAGTGGACCACATAGATGAAACTGACGACAAAAACATAGCCCGGCATTGAAAAGGAAGTCAAAAAAGAAAAGAGAAACAAAAGAATGGGAGAAAAGCGGTAGGGCGTTTGCCTTGCATGCAGCCAACATGGCCGACCCAAGTTCGATTCCTCTGCCCCTCTCAGAGGGCCCGGCAAGCTACCGAGAGTATCTTGCCCACACGGCAGAGCCTGGCAAGCTGCCCGTAATGTATTTGATATGCCAAACACAGTAACAACAAAGTCTCCAATGGAGACGTTACTGGGCCCACTCAAGCAAATCGATGAATGACAGGAGGACAGGACAGACAGGATCTACTTGTGTGTCTGAGTACCTAGTATATAAATTATGCAGTTTAAATTAACTTCCATGTGCTTACCACTCTGCTAAATTTAAAAACATGTTCATGGTCAGTACCTTTGAAACTCTCTCTGGCATACACCATTTTTTAAAACAAATTTTTATTAGTGAGGTACAGTTGTAGACTTACAATTTTTTGTGTTTGGGATTCAATTATACAATGATCAAATACCCATCCCTCCATCAGTGCCCATTTTCCACCACCACAGATCCCAGTATCCCTCCCACCCCCCATCCCCTCTATCCCACCCTGCCTCTGTGGCAGGGCATTACCTTTTGTTCTCTCTCTCCTTTTGGGTGCTGTGGTTTGCAAAAGAGGCATTGAGTGGCAATCATGTTCAGTCTATAGTCTACTTTCAGCATGCATCTCCCATCCTGGGAGGATCCTCCCAACACCCTTTATTTGGTGCTCCCTTCTCTATCTGAGCTGCCTTTTCCCCCAGCGTGTGCGGCTGGCTTCCAAGCTATGGAGTAAACCTCCTGGTACTTATCTCAGCTATTCTTGGGTGTTAGTCTCTTATTTTGTTAGTTTATGTGCCCCAGATGAATGCAATCTTTCTGTGTCTGTCCCTCTCTTTCTGACTCATTTCACTTAGCATGATACTTTCTATGTAGTACCACTTGTATGTAAATTTCATGGCTTCACCTTTTCTAATAGCTATATAGTACTCCATTGTGTAGATGTATCAAAGATTCTTTAACCAGTCATCTGTTGTCGGGCACTCAGGTTTTTTCCATATTCTGGCTATTGTAAACAGTGCTGCATATACTATTTAAAAATTTATTCTCGCAAATGCAAATTTAATCATTACCCCGTGGATATATCTTATTGACCTACTATAAAAACAATTTAAAAATTTAAATATTATTTTAAGAGTGAGGGACAGTTTCATATATTCTATGATAGAAATGTAACCAGTATCAAACATAAGCATGAAACATGTATATAAAAACATGCAGTCTGTTAGACATAAAAACACACAGTTTGCTTTATGGGCATAAAAACACAAAGTTTAGATTACCCTAATTAGGTGTTCCAGTATATACAGCAGAAGAAAATAATAGTTACAATATATTATTTCCTGCTTATAAAAATTACCGAAGTAGGATACCCAAGAGATTATTATAGGAAATGCATTCATTAATACCACGAGGTATCCAACATGCTGAAATTCATCAGTAAATGCAATTTTGTGGCATAGACGAAGAGGAGAAAATCTATTAAAAATTAAGAAAAGAATTAGATTGTAAATTTTCCAGTTTCCTTCTACGGTTGATTCCTAGATCCTTACAATTTTGTAAGAGAAACACAATTCTAATATTCTGAAATTAATTAATACCTTTTTTTGGTCTAAATGATCTATCCTACAGAATGTTCCATGTATTCTTGAGAAGAATGTGCATTTTGATGCTATTGTAGAGGGTGTTTGGTACGTGTTATTAAATCCATCTAATCTTAAGTATCTAGATTTAAGTATCTTAAATCCAATGTTTTTTCTTTTCCTTCTGAATAATCTATTGGTTTTCAAAAGTGAGGAGTTGAGGTTTTCTACTATTAACTCTATTATCTCTTCTCCCTTCAGACCATTAGTGTTGGTTTTATATTTGTAGTCATTTCTATATTGCATGCATAAATATTTAATGTTTTGTTCAAGTGGAAATGAACCCCTAATTATTACATAATTTTTAGCTTTGTCTCATTACACTTTGTCTTAACGTGTTTCCTTTGCAGTGGTCATCTTTTTAATCACTATATAATTTTCAGCTTTGTCTCAGTATACTTTGTCTTACTGTGTAATGTTTCATTCTTCTGTGGTCATCTTTTTTTCATCATCCACTTCCAGTTTGTGTCCTTAATGTCAAGGTGTTAAAGTGACAAATCAGTCTTTTTAAAAAAATTTAGATACATCATGTTAATTTATTGTAGAATATAGTCCCTTTACATTGAAAATAATTTTTGTTGAATGTATGGGTTTACTCTTGCCATTTTGGCAACTATTTTCCAACTTTTGATTTTTTTTTTAAAACTTGGTTTCTTCTTGATTTCTTTATAATTTCAAGATTTTGGAAACACCATTCTGTGATATCCACACAGTTGATTATTTTTCAGCTATAAAAATAAAGAATCAATTTATACTACAAAGCAGATGAAAATATATGTAAACCAAAGAAGTCAGGAGCAATAGGTTATACTCTGTAATGTTCTATTTACATGAAACATTGAGAATACATAAGATAAAAATTAGACTAGTGATATTCAGTATATGGAAATGAGAAGTGGGGAGTGACTGCTTAATGGAGACTGGGTTTACTGGGAAAAAGTGTGGAATTTGACTTTGTTACTAACACTGAAATTCTCACTTATGTTTAAATATGTAATGTGGAATTCATTTCAATAATGAAAGAGCTATACTAATTCTTCTATAAGAAACTATTTATATATATAAAAATAATGTAGTTGTAATCTAGTTTAAATATTGTGCAAAGTAATCAGAATATAAATTTTAAAACATACAAATACAAAATTTCAATTTCAATAGGATATACCTTTTCTAGCGAGGCACTGACCTTGATGGGATTCCTTTTTCCTTTTTAGTATTATACACCCACTCGAGCAATGATTTTCTAATAAAAGTAAAAAGTCTATAACTGTGGGAATGGGTTTTTATTGTCTCAAGACTCATATGCCTAAAAAAAAAGATAAGAGCTCTTTTAATATGTTTTAATTTTTTTTTTTTTTGCTTTTTGGGTCACACTCAGCGATGCTCATGGGTTATTCCTGGCTCTGCACTCAGGAATCACTACTGGTGGTGCTTGGGGGACACAATATGGGATGCCAGGGATGGAACCCAGGTCAGCCGCATGCAAGGCAAATGCCCTACCCACTATGCTATCGCTCCGGCCCCATGTTTTAAAATTTTGACGTAAGTTTTATACAACATTGTATTAAACTACAATTTTAATACACATGAGAAAGATTGAAGACTATCTGGTGATGACTAAGAATAAGATGCTTTCATGGGCATAGGTCCCAGTATGAAATTATAAATATAGCAAGTTAGTGCAGGGGTTAAGGAACTTCCCTTAAACACAGCCACCTTGGTTTGAAACTCCAGCACTGAATATAGTCCTTCAAGATCCACCAGGAGTAATCCCTAATAATAAAATCTGGAATAATACCTGAGAAACTCAGGGTGTGCCTCCAAAATGAAAAATAAAATTTTCAAGTAGATATATAACTATGAAATTAGATTGTGGGCTCATTTATTAAGTAGTATTTTAAAAAATAGAGATTGATGTTTTAAAATAATAGAACATTCAAGAATTAGGAAGAGTCAACACACCATGTTTTAAATATATAAATTCAAACACATCTGTATTTTCATGTTGGATTGACTATTGATATAAAATGCCAATGAACAAATTATCTCACTAATATCTTTGCTCTGTCAAATGTAGGTAGAAGTACCTATGGTAACCCATATATGAGAAAGTACATTTGAAACATATAGCCCATCTCATCTTTTTTGTCATCTTTTGGAGAAATAGAAAATTTATTAGAAAACAATTGCTGGAGAAAAAGTGTTAAAATGACCACTTGGATAAGTTTACACAAGCCATTTTTGTAGCGCTTTTCTCAAGTTGTAGGCTTCTACTAGCTTTTCTATTGAGACAACTGGCATGTGCTATGATTTGATCTTGCTCACTCACTCCTTTTTTCAAGGAATTTTCTTACTCCTAACTAAATATCTCGACTAGCCTTATTAGAAAGTAGATAGAAATTTGTCCTTAACTTTGGGGCCCTTACTCACGTGGCTTAGTGGAAATATACTGGTAAATTTGAATTAAAGAAGAATCTTGCCCTTTATAATATTGTAACTTTAAAATTTGGGCAATTTTTCTAGTACACTAGTGTAATGGAAGAGAATGAAGTCAATTCAATCTCTGTGATTCAATATAAAAATGTAATTGCATGGAAAATTATGAATGTTTAAATGACCTGATTCATTTATAATTAAAATATTGAACTCATAGTATGCTTTTGAGTTCTGGGATAAACCACAAATAAATGTGTCTGCTTCAACAAAGAAATATATGTAGTTAACAATTACAGTAAGCTAAGTAGTTAATACATGAGCTGGCACATATACACCCTCAAAAAGGACATTTAATGTACTATTGAGTGATTAGAAAACCATACTGAGAGATTATTTTCCCCTTTATGCTCAATTCTGATCTTTTAATAAGTTTTCATGAATCCAAAAAATTGTAATACAATAAGTATGTGATAACAATGTGTATGGTATACAATAGTACAGCTCAAGTTACTAAGTAATTCAAGCTTCTAAATCTCTATTTTACAATGGATTATGAGGACATTTAGTTTTGAATCTCAGCTCTGTAATTTCTTAGTTAAATGACCTAAAGTAAATTAGTTCATGTGTCACTTTTCTTGAAAAATGAAAATAATCATTTATTTTGGATACTTATCCCACAGGCTGGAGTGATAGCACAGGGGGTAGGGCGTTTGCCTTGCATGAGGCTGACCCGGGTTCGATTCCTCTGTTCCTCTCAGAGAGCCTGGCAAGCTACTGAGAGTATCCCGCCCACACAGCAAAACCTGGCAAGCTCCCTGTGGTATATTCGATATGCCAAAAACAGTAACAAGTCTCACACGGAAGATGTTACTGGTGCCTGCTCAAGCAAATCAATGAACAATAGGAGGACAGTACTACAGTGCTACGGTGCTTCTTATCCCACAGAATTTTTCACTCTAAGCTGTGCCCGTAGGGCAGGAGAGATGATATAATAGTAGGGCTCTTGCCTTTTATGCGATCAACCTGTGTTTGATTCCTGGCACCCCATAGAGACACACAAGAGTGATCTCTGAGCACAGAAGAAAGAGTAAGCTATCAGTACAGATGGGGGTGGCCCCTAAACAAAAAAAAAACCCACAAAACCCAAAACACTGTACCTGTCATAATATTACCTGACAACAAACTTTACAACCAAGTTATATTAATCAAAACAGTGTGGTACTTGCATTTTGGACTATTAGACCAATGGAATAAGACTGAGATCCTAAAGATAAACCCTCAGCTTAAACTCGTCCCTTTCATATTTCCTTTATTCCTCCATGGGTTTGGCCTGAGACTATTTCTTAGTCTTGAGACTTTTATTAATGTGAAATATGCTCCTTATTGCAGAGACTTATAAAAAAAGTCTTTGGATGTATTGTATTTATAAAGGCTGTCCATTGCAAAGGTGTTCATGGAGGACAGGATTCATGAGACTTTCTAATTGTCTTAAAATATAAGCTGTTTATGACAGCTTAGATTAGTATTATAGAGAGGGCTATGGGGTGGGAAGATGGGGGAGATGAAAAAGGAAAGTATTTAAGCCAGAAGGCCCCTGATTTAAGAATGATTGAGTTTGGGAAAGTGAAAGTAGATGATCTCCTTCAGTGTTGAGTATAGAGCAGGTGGTCGCTTGCACATCTGATATCAAATAGTCCAATGGACCAATTAATAATCCATTCAGTCATTAATAAGGTAAAGCCACTTGTCTAATTTCCCAAATGCAGTGGTTTAGAATGAATGAAGCATTCTCTTGATAATATACTTACTCTTCCCTCTTCTCTACAAAGCTTTTTGCTGTACCTAGTAGCACCTGCACAGCACTCTGGGAAAGAATCTCCGACCTGTATTGTCTCTGGTAGCTTGCCTAAAGGAAATTTTGAGACAAATTGTTATGCAGCGTGGAGAACCACAACGTTTTATTATTTTATCCCCTTTGTGGGAAAATAATCTGTGATAAAGAAGTCAAAATTCCTAAATAACCTGGTATCTTTTGAAAAAGGAACTTTTCCATGTGGTCCAGAATATGAGATCATTGAGAAAGTTGATCTGAGCCTTAAACAACTTGCAATCCTAATTGATAACTGATAATTATGTTTTAAAAAATAATTAGAATTCTATGACTAAAAATTAATTATGAAAACTATTGGTCATGGTCATGGTCATGGTCCTCCCGTTGTTCATCGATTTGCTCGAGCGGGCCCAGTAACATTTCCATTGTGAGACTTGTTGTTACTATGTTTGGCATATCGAATACGTCACGGGTAGCTTGCCAGGCTCTGCCGCATGGGTGAGATACTCTCGGTAGCTTGCCGGACTCTCCGAGAGGGGCGGAGGAATCGAACTTGGGTCGGCCATATTGGCCGCTTGTAAGGCAAACACCCTACTGCTGTGCTATCGTGAGTTGTATTTTAAATAAAAATTTTAAGATAAAATAATTGAATTATCCCCTTCTTGTAAGTTTACAGTGCTTGCTACAGAGATAGCACAGTAGTGATAGGGCATTTGTCTTGTAATCAGATGACTCAGCTTCAAGACCTGGCACCACATATGGTTCCCAAACCTCACTATGAGTGGTTCTTGAGCACAGTGCCATGAGTAAGCCCTGAGCATTGTTGGGTGTGGCCCTAAACAAAAATAAATTTTATAATATTATTAGAATATTAAAGAGCTTACTGTACCATGACCCTATGTTACACTTTCCCAAACAGCTTGTCAAAATAACTCTCATCTTTAATTTATAATACGCAAAAATAAAATGCTACCTGGGATCTTTTGAAGAATGTAGAGTTCCTTATCTATTCAGCCCATATATTAATAACACAGTCTGCTTCAGGCACCATGTTTGATTCTGGAGAAGCCATATCTGATATGGCTTCTGCCCTTGTATGAAATATTGCTGAGAATCACTGCATAGACCAACTCCCTAAATTGGAAATGTATAATATAACAGGGTCCTCTGTTTTATAGAAGACATTCTGTCTGCACATCATTTATAGATATTAAAACAGGCTTGTTTTGAGGGAAATTCAAAAAGAAGAAATAGAAAGATGTCTGAAGATCAAAAGATGACTGGTTCATAATGACAGGAATTAAATAGAAAAACATTCTTTCCCTTAAATTTCATTAGAATATTTACAAGATAAAATGACATAAAGTAACTTTAGTATTCTCAGAATTAAGATAAAATGATATAAAGTACCTTTAGTATCCTCAGAATTAATCATCAAAATTACATGGATCAGAGAGATATGACAGAGGGTTGAATTCATACTTTGTGGGAATCCAGAGTTTGATCATCACACCAAATGGTTTCCAGAGCACCTCTGGGTATGATCTATGAGAATTCTGTGCCTAGAATAGTCCCCACATAGCACTGGATGTTAAATATCAAAAAATTGAATGACAGAGTATGTGGAAAATAAGTTGAAGATAAGGTTATTCCTGGAATCTTTGTAATAGAAATGCCAAAGCAATTAGACACTAGAAATGAAAGTTAATTCTTAAATAATCAAAATAGAAAATAGAGAGAACAATTATTTTCCAAGATAACTGCCAATTATTGAGTTCTCTGCTATAGTTTTAACTGATTTAAGTTTAATTTCTATGATAAGGTTATAAGGAAGGTATTCTAATGTGTGTCTTATATATGGGAAAACTGAAACTCAGAGAATAAGGCAGTTCTCTGAAGATCACTTCTTTCTAAATTTAAACTCTGTACTCTCATAACTCCGTTATGGTATACTACTTCTCGTAGGAGATTATATCGCCATGTTGTTGTTCTTTTGATATATAACAGTGGAGAAGATTTTATGGCAATTAATTATAATTTGTTGAGACTTAAATAAAAGTCCTGAAATTCTAATATATCAATTAATATTACTGTTGAGAGAATAGTAATTATATAAACCCAATGAACAAACACAAACATATGTCTAGTTTAACACAAACATATGTCTAGAAGGAAAAAAGACTGAAAAGATAGGAGTTGAGACAAAGACCTAGAAAATGGAGCAATGATACAATTTACTTCCACTTAATAGTATAAAATAAATGTGGGGGAAAATATTTGGAGTATAGCACCGTCCTCCCATTGTTCATCAATTTGCTGGAGCAGGCATCAGTAATGTGTCCATTGTGAGACTTGTTACTATTTTTGGCACATTAATACGCCACGGGGAGCTTGCTAGGCTCTGCTGTGTGGGCGGGATACTCTCGGTAGATTGCTGGACTCTCCAAGAGGAACGGAGGAATCGAACCTGGGTTGGCCTTGTGCAAGGCAAATGCCCCACCCGCTGTACTATCGCTCCAGTCCATTTGGAGTATATATTTCAAAAATTACTCTTTTTCTCTCTCTTGGTTTTTAGGTCACACCCAGTCGTGTTCAGGGTTTACGTCTGGCTCTGCACTTAGGGATCAGTCTTGACAGGCTCTGAGGAATATTTGGAGTGGCAGGGATGAAACTCAGGTCCACCGTGTGCAAGGCAAGACCTGCTCATTCTCATCTCTCTCCAGTCCCAAACAGTCCTTCTGTTAGCACAAGTTCCTAAAGATTTTAAAATAGTACTTGTTGAGTTTTATCATGTTTGTAATGAAAGCAAGACCTTAAATGGAAACTCAGGGGTTAGCTTCGAGAATTAGATCTTCATTATCCTATTCTCCTGAAATAAGTGAAAAAAATCTATAAGTGACTCAAAGACATCACATTTCTGGTGCAGCAAAGCACAAAACAATATTGCTCAAAATAAAAGTAAATTATTTGAGTTCTTAGAAATGCTGAACTTTGAAAACTCAATGTGTCTGCCACAATAATGCCAAAGAAATAATAATTTTCTTCAGACCATCCCTTTCTCAGGGGCTGGAGCGATAGCACAGCGGGTAGGACGTTTGCCTTGCACGCAGCCAACATGGCCGACCCGAGTTCGATTCCTCCGCCCCTCTCGGAGAGCCCAGCAAGCTACCGAGAGTATTCGATATGCCAGACACAGTAACAACAAAGTCTCCAATGGAGACGTTACTGGGCCCGCTCGAGCAAATCGATGATCAACGGGAGGGCCTTTACTTTACTTTACTTTACTTATCCCTTTCTCGAGTTGGACTGAGCAAGTAAACAGCTCTCAATATTATATGAAAAATGCATGAATGTTCCCAACATTTGAGTTTTGAGAGGATGAACTGTCGCTATAGTCAAGATCTTGACCTGGGAGCTTATTAGAAATGAGGTCTAAAGAAGAAACAAGGAAACAGTATTGTCAAGGCAAAAATGCACTGCAGGGGCGATAAGAAGCAGTTGAGAAGAGATTGCTAAGGTGCAGAACGTTTCCCTGGGGTTTTGGGGTTGGAACAAACATCTAGCCCCTAATCTGAATCCAGAAATGCAAAGAAATTTAAAATTCTGGAATTACTAGATTTAGGGCAAGGATGGAGGACACACTGAAGAATAAGTAGAAACTAAGAAACAGTCCTTGCTAAATACATTCATGAGCAGATTGATTTACTTGTTTTGGACGCAAAGTAATAACACCAATTTGAATAATAATTAAACCATGTGTGAAGAAATTCCAGACATTATGCACGTAGTACTGGCTTATGAAGCAGGAAACTTTAGGGAGTACGCTGAGGTCTGCTGCCAGAACCTCTTACCACATTGATGACAGCAACACATTGAAGTCTATCAAGTAGGCCTTGTAGACAAATTCCTGATGTAATCACTACCCATCCCTAAGAAGTAATCTAAGTAGCCTAAGACAGAGAGAGAGAGAGAGCTATCAAAGGTGTTCTTCCTTGACAGACATATACCTGGCACCTACTAACCTCTGCATGACTGTTAGCAAGAACCCAACCCCTGGAAAGCCCCAGGCAGAAACTTGGTCCACCCTGATCCTGAGATCACCCCAGAGGACCCAGCTGGGGCTGGCATATACCCTGAAGAACTCTGAAAGCATAGCCACAGATAAGCAACCTCCAAACCAACCTCAACCAAACAAACCCATAAGATACTGTTAAATAGAGGATTTTTTAATGAACAGGAGAAAAAAATAACGTAACATACATACAACATAGCCAAGAATATAAAAAAATGAAAAATACCAAATAGTTCTTTAAAAAATGCTTTGAAGAACTGAGCTGAATAGTCACTTCTTCAAAGACATGCAAATAGCCAAGATACACAAGTGAAACTACACCTTTTATCAAGGAAATGCAAAACAAAACTACAATCAGATGTTAACCACCATTTATGAGGTTAACATAGATTAAAAAGAGTACTGGCAAAAATATAGAGTAGAACAATGAACCTCTTACACTGTTAGTGGAAATGTAAACTGCCACAGACTCAATGAGAGATAGCAGAGAGATTTCTCAAAATAATAAAAATAGTTAATTAAATCTCAAAAGAGATCAAGTAACTTCAAATTTTCTCAATTTACCAGCCCTGCTGGGCCCTCTGGGGTGATCTCAGGATCAGAGTGGACCAAGTTTCTGCCCTACTGAAGCCCCAGCTGCCACACTTACACCCGAACAGTCACTGCAGAGCCTCTGGCCATATTCCACTGTCCCATGACACAACTCCAAAGAGATTCTAACCTGCCAAAACTTTCAGGTACACAGGGTTTTCTGGCTGAAAACTCTGGACCTTGATGGAGTTAGGGTAGGCGACCTTCCCACACATCCCTATACTTCGGAAGACCTAGCAGCCACACCCACATCCCTCTGCTGCTGCAAAGTAAGCGTACCATCCAATTCAATATCCTGGCTTTTATAGAGTGTGCAGCTGCATCTCCAAACTCTACAATACTAATAGCACACCAGATCAATTGGGAATGCAACATAAAAGTGAACTAAGTTTAACTAACAAAAACATTAACA